CTCACCCTACCACACACACTACCAGTGCCCACCACACACACCAGTGCCCTCACCCTACCACCACACACACACTCAATACAAAACGTACACAAAAACATGAAAACACACGCACTTCAAATACACTTAAATAATTAATCTTGTCGACATACGTGAAGCACCTGGACAAGAAATCAGGATCATATGCAAATGTGATACCTGCAGATTAATTGAAGCATCTCTGAGGACCCTTGGTAGTCTCCTCTTAAGTATGACAATAACAATAACCCAGTCCCTTCTATAAATGGTGTCCTGTTTTCTTGTCTACCCCCCTTGTTACCCTTGCCTCTCTACCACCACCGAGTTACCCCTGCCTCTCTACCACCACCACCACCACTGTTACCCCTGTCTCCCTACCACCGAGTTACCCCTGCCTCTCTACCACCACCACCACTGTTACCCCTGTCTCCCTACCACCAATGTTACCCCTGCCTCTCTACCACCACCGAGTTACCCTTGCCTCTTTACCACCACCACAGTGCCCATACTTTTGATATCTGGGTCATCACTTGCAAGATACTCAACAGAAGTGTGTTTGAACAATTATTAATTACTCCATCACTACGGTATAGGATATGGTGCATATTACAGCCATTAATTTATAATTTCATGGACTATCGACACTACAGTATAGCACATATGGAAGCTATGGGGATTGTGAAGACAAATACAGGAAATCAATAAGGTAGTTTATTCTTGTTTGGGGAATCATGCAAATAAAAACAATTACAGTTAGGGGATAATGGTAAAGATTAACGCTCTGAGTTTTAATCACCCTCTTCCATGGACGGGGGTTGTCGTGTAAACAACCATAGTTTTAAATGCGAAGGATCCCGCACTAGTGAACGACGGAGAGCGGTGGCAGAAAAACAAATCAATAATATTGGAATTTGAATATGTGGCTAGTAGCTGATCTTCATTACTCGCTTCATAATAGTTTTAGTGGATATTCACAGTAAACTTGATTACGGTAATGAACAAAGAAAACGATAATGGTAATTTTATAAAAAAAAATTTTACATTGTTTTTACAGCCAATACAGTATTATGAAATTTTTAAGAGACTTGTGATTTTTTTACTACCAAGTGCAAGCTCATACAGCTGCCGGAGTCATTTCATCTCACAAACTCTGTTAGGTAAGCAATACAATAATCATATCATACTCTGAACTTAGCAACCAATAAAAAACTGCAAACTTCAAGTCTGTGGGATACAGGAGGCTGGGATGAGAATGAGGAGTTTGTTTTTCTCAGAGTGTAGTCATTTTCACCCTATTAAATGTAACCTACTTAACAACAAATTGTTGAACTTACTTTAGTTTAAGATGTTCCCAGATCTTCCATCTTTGTAGTTCAGATCGCTGAGGTCCATATCCTTTGGCATTGAAATTGGATGTTACGCATCCAAGCTTCCTTCTTTAATGACACTCCCTTTACACATCTGTCTTTAACCTGTAAAATTTTTTCTTCGCCAATTAACGGTACAAAAACTCCCGTTCTCTGGGCGTTATAGGGCTCTCACTGGTTGAGAGGAGTAGGTGTAGTTCATGTTGATGGTCGTCCAGTATAGTCTTGAATTTGGCACTTAGCATTTGTAAACAACGGCACCTCAGGTATACCAACCACACGAGTAAGATGACCCATAATGCATCAGGAAAGGTGGACTGGCTTACCAACCCTACCCTCAATGGTCCCGCACGAAGGGGAAGAGGTTCGAGTGATTAAAACTACTGCTTGAAGGAACGACTCCTACCTGTGGGTTCTTTGTGGAAGAGGGAAGGGGGTGATTAAAACTCCGGGTGTAAGACTTTGGTTAAAATTATCATTGTAAAAGGGTTAACAGACACAAGACACACAACAAAGATTACAGCATTACTTCTCTGCCCTACAGCACCTAAGGGGTACAATGACTATATAGTAACAGTCCTTGACAGCAACAAGTGCTACAGATGTACAAACTTGTGTGAAAAATCCATGACATGTATTGAGGTGATGGGAGGGAAATGATAATTAATTAAATTCATTTGGAATAAAAGTTCCATCAAGCACAGGATTATTACAAGGGGTTGAGGTCAGTCCTAAGATTAGAGGCAACAACTTTCATAGTGAACACAATTAATATATCTCATGTATACTTTAAAAACATACAGGAAAACTAAGTATGAGAAATATCTACAGATACGCAATGTTGTACTCACCTACTTGTTGTGCTGGAGAGGGGCATCATAATGTGTCTACTAACCTAATCCTGTTCCTCACTACCAGGACTGATACAGCAACATTGCCTCTCACACACAATAACAATATACCCCAACTTATACTAAGCAAAGTGTTACATAACTACATATTACTTTCAAGTTGCTTCATTATCTTGTTTATCTTTATGTACAATCTACCTCCAGTGTGTGGGGTCTCTCAAGCACTCTTCTCTCAACTCTACCCAACAACGCCAGCTAGAGAAGGCACAGAAAAGAGCCTGCAGAATCATGCTTGGCGCAGACTACTCCGGCTACAACAATGCTCTCTCCACCCTGGAAATGCCATCCCTCAGTGACCTCCACCACCAAGCACTAGCAAGGTTTGGCAGTGAACTACTGCACCATCCTCGTCATCGCCACCTCCTGCCACCGGCAGTCCCCCGCCCACCTCACGCAGTCCGCCACAACAAAATTCAGCCCATAAGAGCCCGCACTGATAGATATAAGAATAGCACCATCCCATCTATTGTTAAAATAATAAACAACTCCTGATTTATGTACTGTACAGCCCTGTAAATGTATTCAACACATATCATTATGTCTAAATCAAATGTAAGTTTGTATATTTTCAGCCACCGGCTGCAACTCTATTAATAAACCGTTTATTATTACAGTATTATTATTATTAATATAACATCCTACACCAAAGCTTCCTATGTGATGGTGTATATCTGGATGAGTAGTTTTATAGCCAGTTGCTCATCACTAATCAGTTGGTCTAGATCCAGGAGACCTGACATTAGTAGGGGAGACTGATCTTATGTTCAGTGTACCTTCCTTAATGCCACCGCCACCTTGAGAGGGAGAACAGAAGGAAAAGATTGTCCCTCATGACACTCTAGAGGCCTGAAGGAGGACATCACATCACATATCCATTCTGTTGGAGTCAGACATAATGGTTTTTAAGGGTCACTTCTCTAACGGATGGGGTTTGTGTTCTCTCCATCTGGCAACTTTGGAGGTAAGTGCTTCACCTCCAATTATTATGTATACACAGCTTTTGTAGGTAAATAATCCTCATTGTTACTATTTAGTTAAATATTTATTTCATTTTCCAATGTAAGTGTTAATTAGTTTTCTAATGTTCGAGTCTGGATACAATAAGAAACAGCAGGGTACCAGCCACATTTGCTCTGAGTCAGTGCATCAGATGATTATTGTAATTACTCCATCCTGTCTTTTTGAGGTTTGTTTCTAGCCAACAAGGATCAAGTCTACAGTTAGAAAAAGTTCTTTACTGTGCAATAGAACATTTCAAGGAACTTCTATTAAGAGACAGTAGGAGAATCACAGAGATTTCCACTCTAGTAATAACAGGTTTGCATGTAATTTTGTCTTTTGAGAATATATTAGATGGTTTTTCCAAATCTATATTGGAACTTAGAAGATGTGCTTGCCAGCTGATATGGGATTGGATCATTCATTGAGAACAATCGATCATTTGGCCTTCTCCCAAAATCTGGATTACAACCCTCAAGAGAGCAAAGTACATGTGCACCAACCAAGTGGAAGTCTTGTTGGAAGTATCCTACAGAGTGAAGGATAGTTCCCTCCTTTGCATATTTGTGTTGCCATGTTGAAGTTGACAGCACTGAACTGAGTTGTAGACAAGACACTTATGATAAGGCTGTGTAAATTGAGGTGTGATAACAGTGGCTAATGATGTCATTATTACAACATAATTGGGAAGGAATAAGAAGTGGTGGTGAATTTTTTTTTATGAATTGGTTAAGATTTAAGATAATTATCATGTAAAGATGTTACTTTATAACCTCACTGGTATATATTTTCAGAATATAGGTCCAAAAAGCTCTATTGCACTATCTTGCCTAAAAGTGTCAAGTACTGCATGTGAATCGGTCAGATCTGTGACTTCAGCTGATATGTACTACTGAACACAAATATCCAATACAGTACAGTAGTGTATTTGTTTCATGTGTACAGTTACTATGATTTAAGGACTTCCTGAATCATGTAGATCAAGTAAGGTGTAACAATTAATACCTCCAAATGTTTTATATTTGAGTTGCTGAGTCATCTTGATAAGTCATAATTAATTACTCCAACTACAGATAGGACTAATTTGTCCATATCTGAAGTAATGTTCTCACATCTGGAGGCTCATTCTCCACATACCTACTGTAGTTGACAAGAATTGAGTCTAAGCCAGTTCACCTTATTAATCATCTTGCTAACTTCAAAGCTTGACCACTCTCAAGAGAGGCTGCTTCCATCCCACTATCACTGTGTAGGCCATGCAGTACCCAACAAACCAATGAGTCATATTGCTACTGTGTGGCTGTTAGCAGCTCAATGATGGGTCAGTGTGAAGCTACATCATTCTCTCTACTGCTAAGCTTTGGTACTCTTTCTGGTTTAGGTGTGAGCAGCAGTTTAAATGCCAGCCCTCACATATGACCAGTTGGGTCAGCTCAACTATCACCAGGTGGCTCATATGTGAGGAACTGCAGCACATGGGGTTAAAAAGCAAATCTTCCATGAACTAAAAATCTCAAATTATTCCTTTATTTTTGGTTTCCTCTAAAAGGTGACCTCAACAAAGACATCTATCATTAAATTTACCATCATTCACTCACATCCTGGTTGCCTTACCTGACGTGTTCCTCTCCAACAAATAGGTTATCAGTGTCAGCTCACACATTACATCTAATGACACACAGAGAAGGAATAATTTCAAACCAAAAACAGAGCAACAGCACTACTTTATTAATTACATAAAAACAGGAATGATACCTATGCATACGATGAAGTTACAGGTGTGCTTTACTGTTTTCCCTCTGAAGAGAAGACTTTAGCAGTGCAGTCTGAGGAGCCACTCACAATATAGCTTGGATTTGACCAATCAACCACCAGAATTTTATCTTGATGTCCACAGAGATCATACAGGGGAGCCTTGGGACTGTAACATAATAAAAGAAAACTAACTTAATCCTATCTTTTCAAAGTTTATTAACATATACAGATATATGATGGCAATGTTTGTACTGAAAAATCATAAAATCATAAGAGGAAGCTTAGATTAGTTAGCAGGTGACTTAGTGACGATACCAAATTGCTTGATTCTGAGTTAGATTATAAATAACAAGGTTGGATAAATATTTTCTATATCAATCAGAATGTGTAATAACAGCTCACTTGCTAAATCATGCTTTTCAATAAACCATTTAAACAGAAAACATTATCCACAATGGCAATAGGTAGGACCACACCGGAAACACTGTCTTGCCCGATTAGCAAAGTTAAGCCATTAGTTCCTGAAAGTTAAGAACAACACCTGCATGGCAAAATTACATACCTTCGACAGTCCCAAAACTTCACCAATTTGTCGTAGCCTCCAGACACAAACAAATGTTCCTTTGTAGTGCTCCACCTCACACTTGGAACCCACTTTGTGTGTGACGTGAACTTCTGCTGCACAATAGAACCATCTGAGGGAAAATAAAAAAAATCAGTGTCAAAACAAAATTGAGATATGTCATGGGAAAGGGCAATAAAAACTTTGTATGCATTATGAATTGTATACGGTAGTACAATTTGAATTGGTGTGAAGGATATGAACGAGTTTGCAGACGGTGAAAATAAGTTAAGGAGATGAGAAAGTATGTGCAGATATTGTACAGTTAGGGTCAAAAGTTCGCTCCCCCCCAAACTGAAGCAGCATCGAACCCATATGAGATACAACAGTCAGGGTAAGTCAGTTCAGAGAATCATTCACGTGACTCAGTTTCACCATGAGGAGTGAATTTTTGTCCCCGAGTATACAGTAGTTTTAAGACAATCAATATGATCCTTTCCTTTGTTATTATTGGGGAAAGGGTTAATTATGTCAACCCTTCCAAAATATTATTATTTTCATCTAATGAGACAAATATTGTGAAGTATGGGTGTTTATGGTGCCTGAAGATGGGCAATAGAGGAAAACTAGGAGGAATGTATATCTTCATTTAAAATAATTAAGTGTTATGATTACATATTTTCACTCTTGCAGGCCCTGTCTCACTTCAGGTAACCCAAACCAGAAACAACATAGATTCTCTCGTTTGCAGCCACTTGCTCTCTCTCTAACTCCATCATCACATGCATTGTTACAGTGCTCCACACAACACCCCAGCATGTATATATTATAAAGGTAACCATAAGAAACACAGAAAAACACAAATGCTTTCATAATTACTCACACGTTCAGAGAGTACAGTAGGAGTGTATGTGTGCAATTTACTCCCTAAAGACAAAAAACATCATGAAACTCTTTGAATCTTTTCATGTTTCTCTTTCCTAGTAGTTACCTCACTAAAATATGACGTGTTCTTTGTGCATTTTGTCTGAGTAAGCCATAAAACACAGTCAATGCCTTTGTCTGCCTGATAGTTTTTTGTTTTTAACACTATAACTTTATGGAAATCAGTTCATATACCAGTGTGGTAAAATTTGCACAAAAACCGTGCTATATTACAGGTTCAATCTCAGATCTGATAAAGGGGGAGGAAGTAAAGGAGGAAATCATAATCGAACAAAAACTAACCTGTGATACGTGGGTCATACATCCTTATAAATCTATCTGCACAGCCCGTCAAGAGAAGGCGGCTGAGAGGCGACCATGATACAGTAAAGAAGGCATTATTTCCATTGATTTGAGATTTGACTCCTCCAATCTCGGTGTCCCACACCCGAAGTGAATGATCCCAGGAAGCTGTGGCAACTTCATTGTCTCCTGTCCACACTACTCCACCCACACTCTCTGAGTGGCCAGCTAGTGTAATAATTGGGGTCTGCAAATAAAGTGTTACATATATAATGTGTACTATATTCCACTTACTCACCTTCCTAGGGTGATATATAATGTAACTTTAAATAATACTGTACATGAATAAAGCTGAGAAAAGTAACACTATCTCTCCTCTGCTGTGCATTGTTTTCTTACATGTTATACATGAAAGTGAGACTCACCTTCTTCTGAGGTTTCTTAGCTGCTCGTCTCTTTTTCTTTTGTTCTTCTTCATCTTCCTCATCTTGACCACCTTTCTCACCTGACAATAATGTGCTATTAGTATACATACCACATGGAAAAAAAAATATGACTACTTTACTGTATTTCCATCATGTAAAATATTTTCCCTCCATTATTAATTTTCTGCTATGATAAAAAACAATCTCCCTTCAACTACTCTCTTTAACTGTCACAGAAGATGTGCTTTGTTGTGGTGTTCCCCTTCCATGGCACAGCCCAAAGACACCATCATGGTTTATCATTGTTGCTCAACACCACATGCATCATCCATCCCCCAAAACCCTGATGTCATGTAAGTGATTTGTGATAATACTAATGCATAAAATGTACAGCTGCATCTAATACATTGTGACTAAAAAGTTTATGTAGGATTGTAATAATAATATTTGATTTACTCCAGTAAAAAATTCATTACTAATTCACAACGCCTCTGTTTCTATCTTAATTCTAAAAAAATTTCACCCAGCTGCTTCTGCAATATAAGTTTCACACTTTCATCCATCAAATTCTTATGATATAAAGGTTTTCATCTGCAATTCCTCTTCCAAAACATATAAACTCTAGTTCTATCTTCCATAGCAGCCTCCATCTACACCTCTCGGCACTCGCTGTATCATGTACTCTACCAACCAAGAGAACTCCACGTATGCCCAAGACTGTTTCCTATTCCAAATTGTTGGGTTATACCTTGGGAATGGGACACATCCATAATCAACCTTTTTTAGTCACCTTTAACAGTCTGTATGAATATGTGAGAAACATTTCTCTAAGAGCTGTCAGTTGTACTGAATCCCCAGACATAGGGGGTTTCTAACTGATAGACAGAGGGCAGGGAAGAATTAGAATAGATGATAAATATACAGTAATAGTTTATATGTACAAGGGTATATCATATATAAAGACCTAATATATCCATAACTTGTGCCATGTAACTCTGGACCCAGAAGCTGCTATAAAAGTACCTTAAGTATTGACATTAGTTACTTTAATAATATTCACTGAAAAAAGAAACGACAGGTAACTCTTTTACACAATGAAGAGACAAACAGTACTGTCATTTTTACTACCTGCAGCCCAAGTACTATATAAACAACACAAAAACAGATTAAACAGATACCAAAAATTTACATGGGTAAATAATGATATTGTAATAAATTATGAGATAATTGAGGTTTTGACAATGATGCTCCCTTACCTACAGACCAAATCTTCAACATGTTGTCCCATGAGCCAGTTGCAAACAACTCTTGCTTGAGGTCTACAGCCACACACTCCACACTCTGAGTATGGCCACGACACTCACTTATGCACTCCACTGTGTTAGTCTCACTCTGCCACACCCACACCACTGCTGTTTGGTCTATTGATGTGCTTTGAGAAAAAATTATAAAGAAATTTATTTGTTATGCACATTAAAATTTTCAGATATAAAAGTAATAATACCATTATACATTCATAAATTTAATTGTGAAGATTAGAACTGATGTTGAATTACTCACCTAATAAATGTTTTAGTAGGAGAGTCTGTGTGGACCCAGGTGACTGATTTGACAGGAGCTCTGTGTGCTGGGATAGTGAGTGTGTGGGCACGCTCCCCCTGACCAGCAGCAAGGCCAACTACATCCCAGAGATGTAGTGTGTTGTCATAGCAGCCAGTCAATAGCCTGCAACAGTTAGTGCATCAACATTTTTGTACAGTATAATGATCAACTACTGACAAAACTCTAGATCACAAGTCTATAAATACAAATCCTCCCCCATATGATTTGATTTTTTCTATTCTTTTATAGTGAATTAAAGCTTCATCGTTTCTAGCAGGAGTGAATCAAGTACTGTACATAAAACTCAAAACATTCATTAATTTTGCCAAGTGGACCAAACTGGACAATGAAGAATCCATGCAATTATATTTTTGTACAGAACACAATACAGATATTGATTGTACAAGACAATTTTCTACAGCTTCTCGTATAATGGGTCAACAGCCATACCATTAGCAGTTTTATAGGTAGTAGGCAGCTATCAAACAGGGAGGTACAACCGCCTGGGAAGATATTGGAAGCATAATGTGTTGTCTAATGGTAGACCCTGGTGCCATTTGGCACCACGAAAATTGTGACCAAGTCCCAGGTTGCTGATCTGACTTTCTGCCTCATTAACACACATGGGCAGGGTTTCAATTGTTTCTCTTACTTTGACAACACAACATAAATAATGTACCTGTATATCATTTCTCATTCTTGATATGTTTTTTCGTTTTTGTATTTATTTATGGTTACCGTATTATTATTTTTAGTAGTTTATTTTTATTTTTAGTATTATGTTATTAATTTTTGAATTATTATAATAATAATAGTTATTATTATTATTGTTATTATTATTATGTTTTCGCCCTCCAGGCCCTGATGTGGGTCAGTGACCTGTGCCCGGGTGGGCTAATCCCGTGTGTATATATAAAAAAAAAAAAAAAAGTTTCTCCCCTCATGTGGGTCCTGCGAGTTGATCCATGACATTTCTTGAAAGGTGTCAACAATCACGACCTCACAGTAAATTGCTCTTCCCCATCCAAGATGATGAAGAGGAATGGTAACAAATAATTTCTGCATTGCTGTTATAAATATCATTAGGTACTCCATTGTTTTCTGCATACTGTATTATTGTTTTTAACACTGTGTCTGCAGTAACATTTGCCTTAGATTTGCTGGCAGAACTGTATAGAGCACACCAAAGATAGCTATTGTGTATTCTTTACAATTCTGCTTGACGAAGAATACCATAGTTCTGCATCAAAATAATGGAGTACATACCAATGTTTTGAATACATGACTTTCTTAGCACCCAATGGAATTGTATTACTATCATCAACATGGCCTCACCATTTATCACTACATTGCAGTGCTGCCACCCAATCATCATGATGTAGTGAATCCTTTGGGGTAGGTGGAGGCTGCCTCTCAAGGTATTCAATTTCAACAAGAGACTCAAAGCTCACTTCACAATCCTCCAGCCTCTGCTTGAGTGTCCCAACAAGAAACTGTCCTTTAATAACAAAATCAAACGAGGGCAAGTCTATCCTATCTTGTGAACCTGTAATGAAAAACAGATTGTGAGTCATGTGGTGGAACCCATTTTGTGTCTACACTTTTACACGAATGTTACACACCCACATAATTTTCAATGGACACAGAGCATATGTTAGATCCTCATTACAGTAACAATAGTGTACTGTACTGTACCCAGCACATATAGAGTACTGTTCTATACAGTACTAAGGTATGGGGTTGAGGAGTATTATTGTATATTATTACAGGGTATTCTACACAAAATAAAACATTCACTACAATACTGTATTACACACTTATATTTTTGCAGTGATATAATAACATTGCCAAATAAAAAAATATTGAAAAAGGCCCAGACCTGAAGAGCTTTAAACATGTCAATATACCACACATAAAAAAACCATAACCAACAATACAATAAGATTTTTGGTATGAGATCTTTTGTGAAAATATCTAAAATAAATGTTTCTCACCTTGCCTTATAAAAGCTTTGATAACTTTATTAAGCCCAGAAGTGTTGAGGTCGGCCTGGACCGAGACTGATGCCCCTGGAACAGCATACCTGAGAGAAAAAATATACTTAAATATCATTCATTAATTAAATACAGAACAGATCTTAAAGAAGCCCACTTTCACAAGGGAATTAATTAAGTCTATCTACGGCTGACAGTAACTTAACATACTGTACTGTACTAGTGTGACAGTGGAAAACTACGTCTCCAAGGTGATGGTCTTCCTTTTCAGCTTTGGAGAGGTTATACTTAATGCTTGCTGTCTTCTTGAAACTCGTTGTAGAGACCGATAGCTAAAATAAGTGGAAACAAGAGAGCAAGGGAGATGCACACACTGTACCAGCAGCAGATAACAGGATTTAATACAGACACTAATCGATGTCAATATGCTACCTCCCAGCTATGCCACAGTCGCTGTTCGTAGTACATCCGAGCGTTTTGTTTCGTCCATAGATACACTTCCCAGCAACCACTCCATACATATGAACAATACAAACTTCAGATTTATTATAATTTTGTAATATTATTTTGGCCATTTCAAGAAATAAAATTTTCCCTCTAGAGTACTGTACGGGTACGTACTTCAAAACTCGGTAAATTTTCTTGGAAGTTTTATGATAAATATAATCTAAGATTTCAAAAATTAATTAGCATTATAATTAACTTGCAATAGTAGTGATAGAATGAAAGTTACTTAGAATGATGAGATATAATTATTTCATGTGTTAAAAGTCCTGGGTTGAGCAATGTGTTTTTCCAATGGATTAGACAATTTTAAGAAAATTTTCTTCAATGATATTTCCCTCACAAATTTCCTAAAATTACTTAACCTAACCTCCTAACCCAGTACAGGTATAGTATATCTAAGCCATTTGCGAGGGAAATGCCAAAGAAGAAAAGTGTCTTAAAAATGTCTAAAGTTTAGACATTTTTAGGACTTTTCTTCTTTGGCAATAGTCTAAACTCTAAACCACTGGAAAATACACATTTCTCAACTCAAGAGCCATGGTTGGTCGAAACTCCAAATTGACCTTAACCAAATCTAAAATACTGGGCAAAATTATCATTTCGGTCATCCACCATATTTGAAATAAAGGTCAGAATTGTTCAAAGCACATAAAAAAACATCTGAAAAACATAATTTCAACCTGACTTAACCTAAACCTAACCTCGCTGGATGACCGAAATGATAATAATACCAAATATAGTACAGAATTACATCTATTAGTACAGTGGGGTATGCTATAATGAAAGGATCCTACTACGAATATTCCTATAACGAACGGTTTTACCTATAAAATTGAGAATGCTATAACGAATGCAACTCCTACAACGAACACGGATGAATACGGGACTATTTCATCTGGCGCATGAATATTGTTGTACCGCGGCTCACAACAAGAGCGTCAGGCGCCATCTTTGTCTCATTGTGTAGCTAATGCACCACTGTTATTGTTGAAATTTCGTCTTTTGATGTGGAAATTCTTGTTATTTGTATAACTATTTTGTTGTACAAGTATACAATTGTAACAATGAATCGTCCAAAGCGAGTGAGAAAGCTAATAACCCTTGAAACTAAGAAAGAAATCATAAAGAAACGTGAGAATGGAACAAGCATTGCGAAACTTAGTGATGAATATGGGATGACTAAATCGACTATATGTACGATTTTGAAGAATAAAGAGGAGTTAAAAACTGTGCAAGTGGCTAAGGGAATCTTTAGACTTAGCAAAGCAAGGTGTAATGTGATTGAAGAGATGGAAAATTTACTCTTAGTGTGGATAAAGGAGAAAGAAATGGCAGGTGATAGCATTAGTGAAGCTATAATTTGTGAGAAGGCCAAACAATTGTTTGAGGACCTTAAAGCCAAGACTCCCAGTGGAAGTGATAGTGCTGTGCCAGTGTTTAGGGGTACCTGCATGCTGAACAACACTAAGGTAAGATAAAGTACCGTATTTTTTACATTTTCCACAGAAAATTTTCAGTGTTAAGTGGTTGTATTTGGGGGCCTGGGACGGATTAATCCTGTAACGAACGAATGCTATAACGAACGAGGTTCTAGAACCAATTAGATTCGTTATAGCATACCCCACTGTAATTGAAAGAAGAAAATCATGAAACTCATTTCATGCCAAACATATTGCTTGTGCATTTTTTTATGATTTCTTGAGGTAAGAAATCATTTATGTTCTAACTGTAGGCATTATTGCTTCAGTCAGCCAGCAAATTTTAGGATTTCAAATTACCACCATCAAAGAGAGGTTTAGGTTGGGTTGAAATTACGTTTTTACGATGTTTTTTTAACGTGTTTTGAACGATTCTGACCTACTTCCACACAGGTGGATGACCGAGATGATACATGTTCTATAATGAAATGCTGTATAGTTAGTAGTTAAGGCAAGCTATTGGTGTGGAATGTAACCATTCAGGAAATTGGTGAAGGCAACATAGTGTGCCAGTTGTTGTGGCCATTAAATTTCAGGTGAAACCAATTTTATATTTTTTTACCTCTCATGACTTTTTTATAGTCCTAAACAACTGTAACGGTCAATATACAGAAAGTTTCACCAGGGACCTGAGTACTGTGTCATATATAGGGAGATAGAGAAAAAATAAATAATAATAATTTAATCTATAAAGTTTCTGTCGGAAATGTATAGTTTTCGAGTAAAAGTAAAATATAATATTTGGCCAATCAGCGTGAGTGCTGATGTGAAGTAATACTCGTGCGCTAAACAGCGTTCCTGGCCAGTTGAAAGGTGGCGTCTGAGTGCGATGGCTGTACACTAGCTGGCTGCTGCATTATTCAGTGCATTTTGGACAATGAAGCAACAGCTTTTGTCATTTTTAGGCCCCATGGTCTTTGTGTTTCATCTGTAAGGTGTACGAGATGTAATTCAGTGTCAATACCGTATAGATCGCCATACATGGTACCGTGATAAGAGACGGACACTGACGGCTACCACTTTATCCTCCTATATCTCTGACTTAAGGCAAGTTTCTCATGCACTAGGGGTTAGGTAGGTTCGGTGAGGGTTTTCAATTTTTTTTTAGGTTTTTACATTTGTTTGACCTACCACTTTTTTTTCCAATATCTTCACTATGCCTCATTTCCAACGGCAATGAATGTTATATGTGTACTTAACACGATGAGTTACACTAGAAAACCCTATTTATAATACTCAGGTCCCTGGTGACACTTTCTGAATATACTTAGTGGCTAAAGTACTATACAGTATAACATGGACTTGACAAACCCAGGGAACACTGTTGGCATTATATGAAAATTGGACACAAAATAACACATTACAGCCTTTGACCTTGAGTAAACTGTGAGAATATGATATGACTCACAGCAAACAGTTGTCTACTTACTGCTCCTGCTTAGTGATGAACTTTACGAGCACGTTAACGTTGTCAGCATTTTGTTCCTCCGCCATAGTGACCTGCGGCTCCTGCGTCCCTTACTCACACTCTCTCACTCCTCAACAACTGGTAATAACACCTGGACTCCTGTGTGTTAGATAAAGGTGGGAGAGTTTGTGTGTCACGAAGGCAGAGGTATAGTGACTGTACAATAAAATAGTGAGGCTGAGGCAGGTGCAGGTGCTGGCTGAGGCCACAACAACAACACATGTTGTCTGCTGAGACAGTGTGTGTATAAACCACGCCGGTCTGTCTCCCTTCAATTGGCCATTAACACTACACTACAGTTTGTCCCAATTAAAAAAATAGACATAAAACACGATAAATTATTTAATTTTTGAGACCCTCGGCCCTAATCTAGAAATTGAAATGAAATTTTAGAGTGCTGTCTATAGCAGCAGCCAAGGAGCAGTTTAAAAACTCGATGTTTATAATGGCACCACTGAAGGCCGCTGAGACATGAAGGTTTACTGTAACACCAAAAAAATAAAACACAAATAACAAGTGTCATGTCAAATGTGGTCTCAGATATGGTTTCAATAAAACTGGTGTTCTTTAACCCTTTAGACAAATAAAAAATCGTCTGGAGTTAGCCAGAATAAAAACAGCCAAGGGACATTTTCCCCTTTAAAGGGTTAATATCTTCACTTGAACATATCCTTTGAGTGTATGTAGGAGGGGGAGCAGATGTAGGTCTGTGACGGGGTGACAAGGATCCCAAGGGCGGATCCAGGAATATCAAATAGGGGTAGGGTGGGGCAGGGGAGGAGGGGGAGTTCAAGAAGTTGTGGGTAGAACATGAGGAGCACAACGAGCCCACCCAGCTGGGGGGTTTAGGGGGTGGGACTGTAAGCATGCCCCCCCCCCCCCAATTTAGTTTGACATGACCAATATCACGGGCATTTTGAAGCCAATTGCCCTTGATATTAGGTGATATTCTGAGGTCATTAGTAATTACTTTTTACTGTCCAAAAATACCTGAGTACAATACTGCATTAAATAAAAAGTACCCATTGGATTTTCTGAAAAAAAGGAGGGTCTGGACCCCCAGGATCCGCCCCTGTGAAGCACATTTTTCCCAACAGTATCAATAAAATGGAGCAAAATGCAAGTGACAGGTAGCACTATTCTTCTTATTTAAAGGAACATATACTTATTATCAACCAGCAATAACTAATATCACCTACCACCACTTGTAAGTCTATATTTTGAGCAAAGAGTTGGAGGATATTCCATAATCTTCCTAGTTTTCATGGGACTCCGGGAATGTTTAGATGCTAAGAACAGATGTTTTCTGGGCCACTCATGTGCAGTATAGCACCGAGGTAGATATTTTACATCACACCGGTCTTGAGAGGTTATCTCACTCTGGTTTTACCCAACAGGTGCCATCAGGTACTGTAATTGTGGTTTACCCACATAAGTGTGGAAAATGGCTGGAAGACATTGATGAACAACTGTTGTTAATAATATAGTACAGAATGTGAATTCTTGAGCTTATCACTAGATGTTGGTTACCAGTATGGTTGATAATATAATGAAGTAGCTAATAAATGTTTAAGTAGTAAGTCTAGACCTTGCTGTTGACTGCTTTGGACCGGTAAGGTATACTGTATTTTATTCTAAGGCAAATGTTTAAAAAAACAAAAACAGGTATCACACATCAGAAGACACCCTATACAGTACTTTGTTTTTTTATCTAGTTTGTCTGCACAACACTCTACTCCCTATAAATACAGTATAAAAAAATCAAACAGTGTCTGAAAAACTTACCACCCCTTCGAAATGAAATAAAGAGATTGAGTAACTCTGTCCCATCTGCAGGGACAGAATAACATACAGTATAGCTGACTTTCTGGCCAACCAGAAGATCTGAAAAGAATTTAACTAATCAAAGCTTAGGATAACAAGTAACTCAATGAGGAGAACATTTATAATTACACTTTATTTCACAAAAATCCTTCCTTATTTCAACAAAATAGAATGACAGGAAACAAAAGATAAAAAAGTGCAAAATACTTCCCAAGGAATAATATAAGCGATAAAAAATTATGAACTCGGTTAAATTTGCCACTAGGTAGTTGCCTTTTTCAATATACCAATCATAAATGATTAAGATAAAAAAAAAATAGGGCCTATTTAAGGGTAAAGGTAATTTCATTTCTTTGCATAAGTGTTTTCTACTTTAATATAAGATATGAAAAAAACACAATAGCTAAAAAATATAATACTATAAAAAAAATCATAACTACAGAACATAAATGTGTCTTGGACATCAAAACATCTTTATCAAATGCGGTACCAAGATATGTGGAGTGCTTACCTTTGATTTTTAATAATTCTATTTATCAAGGAAACAAGCTTAGAATACAGCAAAAACTCCTGAATTTTCAAATACAACCATAATAAGGTGTTGATAATAGCTCACCATTTTTACTGGCTAATCTAGAGATTTTGATATGCAGTACTGTATTGTATTTGCTAAAGTAGTTGACAGCAAACATAAAATCAGGTGAACCTGGCATAAACTACTGTAGCCACATGGTGGCTTGAAAAACAGTCTCAGCAGTATAATATTATACTAAGGAGAAAATTCTCTTTCACTGTTTTCCTCCTCACACTGGGTACTGTAGAATTATTGTGGGCAAAGGTGGTAACTAGAGCAGAACTTACTATAAAAACAGCCAGAGAATAAAAAAAAAAGTTTGAGTAATACCTTATCAATTGTTGAATTCTCATTGTGGTAACACGAAGCATAACCCTCTACCTTGGTGTTCTTCAAATGAGTGATAATATTTGTATACAATATGGGGATGTCACAGTAGGTTGAGTGAATGAATAAAGTTTTGTTCTTGATTTCAACTTCCTGCTGCATTTGACCTATAAAATTAACAAAAATTATATTCTTTACATTGTAATCCACAATTACAACTCCAGGTAAGGAAGGTTACCTTGTCATGGCCTTTGACATAAAAAAGTGATTGCACATCATCTACAGTAACATCCCTAAACACCAGGACTAAGCCTAGATCATTACAGTACTGAGCTCTCATGTTTCTTAAGCTATTGATAATGTCACAAATACATGTAAATCATTAACACATACTGGTATACCTCACTAGTAATGGCTGTGGTTGAAAAACAAGGGCAATAAAGAAAAATGCTTTATATATACATTTTTATCTTTTATACAACATGTTCAACAACAAAAAATAAGCAATGGCCGAGTCTATACATGAAACAATACAATAATGGTGTACAATACAGTATTTGTCGTATGGAAATGAACAAGAATTATACTGAGTACAGTACACCTTACATTTTCTTGTAATGTGGTAATCCTGAATTAGTCGTCACCTTTCCCCAGAGCAAAATGGGTAACTAAAATATATTTTCAGTTTCAATCCTTTGTTCAAAGATATAATGTTATTTACAATTAAACACTCAGAGCTGATCACTTAAATTTCTGTATATGCAATTCCAGATTCTCAAAGGACTGCCATATACAGTACAGTACTGTTAAATAACGGTAGAAAGAGTAGCCCACTTCTGATGGGGTCACCCTATAGAGGGAGGAAGTTTAGTATGTTTCTACACGTAAAGAAGACCCTGTCAGTGTAAAGTCAGGAACAGAGTTACATATACTGTAAAGTACAGTTCTTGTAATGAGTTAAAAATACATGCAAAAGTACAAAATTTAGGCAAAGTTATGCATATAGGCTGGGGCATTAAAAAAAGTGCAGCAAGTGATTTAAAAATTTAAGTACAGTACTGTAGCTGCTGACGATGGTGTACTGTTGGGTAATGTCTCTGCTACTGTCTAGTTTGTAAACACTAGGAATGAACTGAAGGTCATCAATAGTAGTGGTAGGTCCAAGGTGTTCTTCGGGTGAAAGTCCTGATCAAGTATGAAGTATGACTACAGTTAGTCAAGAAAAGTGCTCAAAAAATTCTAATGGTGACCCCTTGTCAATCAGGAATGAGGAACTACGGAATCAATCTACAGAACTGTAAGGTAGTATTCAGACCATTGGTTACAGAGATAATGAATGGAAACCACTAGTGTTAATGAATGAATGAATGAATGAAAAGAGTAATAGGTAAGCAGAGTAAAAAAGTCTCTGCTACACATGAAAAAAATTGTTATGCAGTACAGTATTCTGAGATGATGTCACTGTTAAGATTATCAGGATAAAATAGACGGTTAAAGTGAAGTTTTCTCTCAAAATGTACCAACATATTGGAAGAGAGAAATAATGCCTAAAGGATCACTATGAGTGAGTATGTTACCGGTAAGCTGTTGAAGTTTAAAGCAGTTTGTTCTTTGAGAATGAAATATGAAAAACTGAGAAACAAGTTGAAATCTAATACTGTATCCACATAATATATCACTCTTTTAAAAACAACTTTCTTCCCTAATATTAGTTTTTATGTTAAATGGTCTAATGGCATCCCTATATCACCATGAGAGAAATATATCTATCAAAATGTTGAATTTCTTTCTTATGGCTTCCCTTCTGGTTACACTGCTCGACTCTAGTGATAGTTACTCTCTTAACAAAATAATGAACCATTGTATTCTCTTCAATTACCGGTAAACCTGTTTAATCAACCTTTCCCATTTCTCTATATTCCTTCTTTATTTCCCTGGACATCTATTCTCTACATATATCAAGGGAATTATTTCAAGTACATTAAATGGTAAATGTTGTGTGTACTGTATTCATTACCTAAATGGTCTATCCGTCTATCTATAAAGTTGCCTCCTAATAACTTTTCTTCCTAGTGTTTCACCTACCAGACATTATATGTGGAAAATATATTTGTTTGAAATAACACAGAGAAGAGAAAACTTTTATTTAACAGAAAATATAAAACTAAAGATTCATTGGGTATAGAACAAATATATGGTAAACCCTGATGGATAGAGTGATGCCCAATAGTTACATAACTGTGAATATTTAAAATCATACAAACAAGATCAGTGCCGGTGATTGAAGCATGATGTCCTTAAGTTTAGTTAGAACAAATTAAAAATCATATGTCCTCCTCCTCTTTCATATCAGGAATACCAAGAATCTTATTATGTATCAATAAATATTTCTTCTTTAAGAGAGAGAAAAAAAATGTATCCCTAACATAGAAAAAATATCCCTCCTTAAAAAAAAATTCAAATTCTGTATCTTGTTCGTTTATATGAGATTTTCATGGCCAACAGAGGTGGATTCTGTTTGGATGAGAAGAAAGTTGGCACTGAGGAATGTTTGGTGTGCAAGGTTAGGGCAGCAGAGAAGAGAATGCATGGCCTGTTCTCCTCAACAGTGGAAGAGGACATATTGTACCAACACTGTGCATAATTTACAGACATATGTGTACAGAGGTGTACATATATAAAGAGGTCTTAGAAGAAAAAGAGAGTACCCAACTCTGAATACATAAAGTTGACATTACCAGTTTTCTAATATGCTACTGTACTAGATATCATACCTTAGTTTCTTTGGTCAGCCACCAGTTACAACTTTCACTACACCACATATCTCCCAACAACCTCTAATGTCTGGCACAGGATACCAAGCAGAATGGTACAGTACAGTACTACAAAATTCTGCTTGTCACTATCATTATTTAAGTTGACTTGTCAATATTGTTTCTCAGTACTTTGTTCAACATGACAATAACATGATACAGCTAGACATGGATGCTGGGGTTAAATTAATTTCCCATGCGTATACATATCTACTAGTCACAATATAACTATTTTCATAACCACACACCTATTAACTCAATAAGCATGATTTACAGTTCTTTAAAAAGATAAATGTAAATGATTAAACACTTCAAGACTACACAAGCTTGTACTGTACAAACTTTAAGTAGTTCACAAAAATTACTGTTTTTCACTTCATATACTGTACTGTACATTACTGTACTGTAATCCTAACTTTGTAAAAATTACAAAAGATAATCCAAGAATAACTTCCTACATTTATATATTCACAGACTGTCACTGGTTTATTACTCAATTACATACTGTAACTATAATCCGCATGAGTAAATTTTTGGTGCCTCATGACTGTACAGTATTATAACCTGGTTAACTATTGAACTGATTCAGATAAGTCAAGAAATAGTTCATGTTAAAAGCAATGTGAGCTTCGTAATTTAGATATAGAAATAATTCAACTATGACTACAAATTTTCACTTTTTTATCCCTTTCTACACTTTTCTTGCACTACAGTATTCTTATTTTGCAAACAGGATTTCCGTTCTGACCATTTCATTCCTTTCTTGAAGTGCTTGTCTCCAGTAATCCATCACTTACATGGGAAGTAGAGAAAAGTTATACAGCATAAAAAAGAAGAAAACAGTATTAAAAACAAATACTGTATATGATGTCTGGAAGTCTGGCAAGAATGAAAGGTAGTGTGCACAGAGGTGGACACAATAAGAAGTATAATAAAGGTCATAAAAGGTGCAGTGAAAGGTAAATAATGAAGTCATCTCCAAAGGAAAGAATGAGGATTACAATTACTGTATATTGGGAGAATAATAGTCTAAAATAAGCACCTCAGTTTATTTCACCTGATGATTAAATATCACTAACAGGTTAGTGTTAGGGTGTTTAAACATCAGGTGAAATAAGCTGGGCTGTCTAATCTTCATGTAATCAATTTTTTGTACATCTGAGTTTCTACTGGTTAGGTTATGTTAGGCTAGGTTTAAGTTAGGTTAAGTTAGGTTAGCAATGGTGTATTTATTCATCAGCTGAATTAAGTTGGGTGCCTAATATTCACATGATCTATTTTGTTTTTGTACTGTACAACTGAGTTTTTATTGGTTAAGGAACGATACCCGCGAACTTTATGATTTAGAGATAAATTTGGAATAAGCTACTGTGTGTCAATACAGCTATGAGAGGAGGAACTTGTTTACAATAACTATGATGTACTAAAGTATAAGGATAATATATAGATAGTACTAATATGTAAATAAAGTATTCTGCAAGAGATTAAAAGCTAAGGGTGCTATTACAGGTATTTGATCGAATGACAAAAAGGAAAAAAATGCAACACTTACAGGCAATAAGACAAGACATAAATATGATTGAGCAAGAAACATGAAAATGCACACCAATTTAATGAAGTGAGTGTGTTGCTTTGTTCCCTCAAGGATCTCCCCACACAACCTCCTCCCAAGCTGTCCCCCTAAATACAACTTTCCCCAAGATGTCTCCAACATGCAACTTTCCCTATGCTTGCTGTGAGAGACAAGAATGGGAGGGGATGGAAGTGAAGGGGGGTTCCTCAGCAAGGGTACATAAACAAGGGGGTAGATGGGAGAGGAAAAGGGCCATAAGCATCTCAGAGAGAGAGAAATGTTAAGTGACAGAAAACATCAACAAAGTGGCACTCAATAGCTTTAACCTGTTATATTGTATTGGGGAATTAGTTTCTGTGACTTTAATTGATAAAGAATAATTTTTGAGTCATATAATTATTAACAAAATATTACCCATGATTAATTCTGACTTTTCAAGAATCTACTGCACGCATTACTTTTTGTAGGTCAGCAAAATATACCTCACCTGCTAAATATATTGTTATTTCTTTCACTGTACAATTTAATAATAAATAACATTCAAAATCATTCTCTATACTGTACAAAATATATCAAGCTTTCACACAAGAGATGATCAAACTGGCACAAATTATTCAGTGTTTCAATGGAAAAGTAACTTTCTCGTGGGGCTAATCATAATGTTTAATACCAAGTAAATCAAATAAGCAAGGTCAATAACATTCATCCACTGTTACTAACAATATGCTGGATGTACCATAATCTAGTATCAACAAAGAGAACACTCATCCCTAAGCACTGGTTGGTACAGCCGGAGACCTCAGAGTACGCGGTAGTGGTAGAAACCCATGAGTGCATCACATAAGTTGACTCGTACCACCAGACTCACCACCAGCAGCACCATCAGTAGAGGCAGAGCGTACAGGAATACTCTTGGTCGATGCAAGATGGGCAATGCTAGAGCAGAAAACCACACAACTATTAAGATATATTACTTGTACTGGCAATTAATACTATCAATATCTGTTAATATTGTATACTGTACTGAATTACAAATGAGGTGTCTGATGGCTTTGTCGGTTATCCTTGGTTGAACTGCCTTACTATTTACTAGTGTTGTATACCTACGCTGTCTAGGTACTGTACACAAGAAATTATACACCAACTCTGCATGGTCTATGTATACTGTATACAGTTTTACCCCGCCTAACGCGGTTTCATTAACGCGGATTTTTTCCACATATACGCAGTGAGTGTCCGAGACGCTATTTTTAGATTTGCCCCACCCGCCACCCTGCCTGACTGCCTGTTTTAGCTCATAAAATTCATACAAATTACCAGGCCAGAATATAATTTACATTGCTGGAATTCTTATAATTTGGTGATCATTTTGAATATAAACATCATATATTTTGCTTTAAACTTACAATTTTTAGATAAAAATTTTTCTCTAGGTAACTATGGTATCTTTTGTGCAAAATATATGACATTTATATTCAAAATATTCCTGGTCTTACAAGGAATCCAGCAATGTCAATTATATTATCCTAACTTTAGTTTGAGGTATTATTTATTAAAATTTAGTGGTTATCCCACACATCTCCTTGGGACGGTTGGTGGGGGGTGGGGGGGAGGGAGGGACCAACCGACCATCTGTTACCCTGTGAAGAATTATTATTTTTTTTTATTAACTGAAGATATTTGTTTTAGCTCATAAAATTCATACAAATTACCCGGTCAGAATATAATTTACATTGCTGGAATTCTTATAATTTGGTGATCATTTTGAATATAAACATCATATATTTTGCTTTAAACTTACAATTTTTAGATAAAAATTTTTCTCTAGGTAACTATGGTATCTTTTGTGCAAAATATATGACATTTATATTCAAAATATTCCTGGTCTTACAAGGAATCCAGCAATGTCAATTATATTATCCTAACTTTAGTTTGAGGTATTATTTATTAAAATTTAGTGGTTATCCCACACATCTCCTTGGGACGGTTGGTGGGGGGTGGGGGGGAGGGAGGGACCGACCGACCATCTGTTACCCTGTGAAGAATTATTATTTTTTTTATTAACTGAAGATATTTGTTTTAGCTCATAAAATTCATACAAATTACCCGGTCAGAATATAATTTACATTGCTGGAATTCTTATAATTTGGTGATCATTTTGAATATAAACATCATATATTTTGCTTTAAACTTACAATTTTTAGATAAAAATTTTTCTCTAGGTAACTATGTTATCTTTTGTGCAAAATATATGACATTTATATTCAAAATATTCCTGGTCTTACAAGGAATCCAGCAATGTCAATTATATTTTCCTAACTTTAGTTTGAGGTTATCCCACACATCTCCTTGGGACGGTTGGTGGGGGGTGGGGGGGGGGAGGGAGGGACCGACCGACCATCTGTTAGCCGGCTGTGTAGTGTGAGAGGGGGAGGGAGTTGAGTCCATTATTTGAATGGACATTAACTTGGCGACTGTATTTCTCTATTTCTCTTAAGTATTAATTGTGTGCATGTACCATCATAAAATTAAGATGTTATTTTTACTACAACATAGGTATGTGCCTTCAAAAAGTGGAGTTTGGGGGTCGGGCCGGTTTCTATTGGAATTAATCCCATATGTTCTGTTGTTCACTTAGCGGGACCCTCTGGGTTCAATTGACCGCGTTAAGTGGAACCAACTTATGTGTATTGTCTATACATATGCTGCACTGTTTATTTGCAGTGTTTATGCAAAACCAGTTGTAAACTTGTATGACAATTTCACAGAATAAATATTATCACTGTACAGTACTGTACAGTATTACTAATATTATATCAGTATACTGTACAGTACTGTACAGTATTGCTAATATTATATCAGTATACTGTACAGTACTGTATGTTTAACATCATTAACACATTAACTGATATGTTAAATGCAAAACTACTGAGGTTGTTTAGATATATAGAGAATGAATCTGGAAAAAAATGACAAATGATTTATCAAGTACTATGCAGGATTTACTATAGGATTACAGTTCACCATTTTTCTACAATTAATGTTAGTTGATCCAAGGCATGAAGGTGACTGATGACCAGCTCAGCTCACACCACATCAGTCTTGTCTAGCATATGATAAAAATCTGCGTCTCACAGTTTGTGGGTCCAGTGTTGACCTCTACTTCTCACCCAGAGAGATATGGCTAACATAAGATAAATAAATAAACAAAAGTATCCACAGAAACATACAACAATTATATCAAAGGTATGCTGGTAAGTTCTCCCTGTGTTATCATTTTCATTACTTGGAATGTTCTTGCAAGATACAGATACAATATATACTGTACATATATGAAGCTTTACCTACAGAAGAGGCATAAGCACTCAATTGCCATTTCGAGATATTAATGTTAAAAGATTAGGCTCATGTGGCATCTGCCTTAAAAAGGGTGCAAGAGCCTTGTTAAGCCAAATTACCTTACACTCCTGACCGTCACCATCTTGTGTGTCTTTGTTGACACATACCTATGGCTGAGATTCCGCCGCTTTTGGCCTTATTTACAAGCCAAGTTTCAGGGTTGCAATACTTTTTACATTTTTTAATTTTATCCTCTTCACCACTCATCGGCTCGTTAGCCACTTGGGCGATCGGTCACGTTTCTGTTAAGCACTGTTGGCAAGTATTGGGCATACACTGGCTCCTGAATGTATCTAAACCTGCTCCAGTGCTTGTCAAGTCTGGTCTTGAAAGAGCTCACACTCGGTGAAGTCACAACACTCTGGCAGATTGTTCCAAGAGTTCACAACTCTCACTCCAAAAAATTTACCCCTCACAGTTTTCCGGGTTTGCGGCTTCTTCAACCTTGAGCTGTGACCCCTTGTGAGGCAAGCGTCTGCCAGCTCCAGGTAAGGGCACTCGACTGAGTAGTGCCCTTTGAGATGTTTATACACCTCAATTAGGTCCCCCCTTGCCTATCTGTAGTATAAGCTAGGCAATTTCAGGCGCTCTAATCTCTCAGGGTAGCTGAGGTGCCGTAATGCAGGCACCAGTCTGGTGGCCCTCCTTTGGACATTTTCAATCAACTGACAGTCCCTAGCATATCTCAGTGACCAGATGGGGTGACAGTACTCCAGACAGGGAAGCACTTCACTCTTGAAGATCGTTATGAGGGACGGACCGTTTAGATATCTGAACGACCTTCTCATAAGACCTAATAATTTAGTTGTCTGATTCACCTTCTTCTCGCAATGGCCCAAGAACTTCAGTTCATTGTCAACATACACACCGAGGTCCTTTTCACACTCAGTCTCAATTAATGCAGTCTCTTCGTCCCGTTGGGACATATGATACGTCTCCTTACTGTTGGTATGTCCCAGGTGCAGCCTCATACACTTCATGACATTGAATCTCAGCAGCCATTTCTTCAACCATTCTTGAGCTCACAGAAATCCTTCTGCAGCTCTTCACAGTCCGCTTGGTTCTTAATTTCCCCAAATAACTTGGCGTCATACGCAAACATTTATATGGAGGAATGTACAGCGTCAGGCATGTCATTTATGAAGCAAACAAACAACAGCGGGCCCAATACACTGCCCTGTGGTACCCCACTTATGACGGGTACACATGATGCTTTCAAGCCATTAATCACCACACACTGCTTGTGGTCATGGAGAAAGTCTCCGATCCACGCTAGGACATTTCCCCGAATCCCGTACCCTTCCAGTTTAATTTTCAGCCTTTCATGGGATACACTGTCGAAAGCCTTGGCAAAATCTATTTATATAATGTCGATATTTCCACCCTGCTCCAGAATTTGGGTCCAAACATCCAATACCTTGAGTAATTGTGCTAAGCAGGAGTGCCCCAGCATAAAACTGTGTTGGCAATCCTTTTGGCATTTCTTGGCACCAGACAGTGAGACAACTAAAGAGGAAGATTCCCTAATCCACTAATACCCACAATAAAAGCACAAAAACAGGCACTGTTCACTCGCACGACCACAAATGTTAATTCTTCTATGTGATTCCTCTATACCATCAATCATATGAACACTCATGTTAGATACACTCCATGTGTTTGGCCCCCATAGAATGCTGTTGATCCATGTGTTCCTGACATAAGCAACCAGCTTCAGGACTTCAGAAACAGCAAGCTTGGCACGCATAACGAGCATCTAAAATCCTGACTCTGTGCTCTGCTGGACGATAACAGAGCACAAGCACCTGTGTCAGGGCAGTATGACAAACTTTATTTCATTACTTTTTGTTGTTTGAGGCATTAAATAAGATTTTTTTTTATATAATGTACTGTACCTAGAATATGCCTTGATAATGTATATTTTGTGGTCAATCTGTAGAAGTCCTGAACTGTAGTGTCAATTAACAAGCACCATTAACTTCATCTACATTTATTAATCTACTTGTTAATGGTATTTAAGTTAAATGTGAACTTCTTCCTAGTAAATTTTTTCTGTCCCCTCTTTTATCGTGACTTTATTTCCATTCACTCAAAATCTGACCTAACTCCTAATACTGTATACATGTATACAGTACATCTAAAATCACTTAATTTAAGAGAAAAGACGAAATATAATGTCAAAATACAGTAACTGAAAGTAAAAATAAGTCAACAGGTAAATAAAATACCGTAAATTTAAAGCTTAACTTTATGGGACGTCAATTGTATCAGCGGATGTTCGTAAGTTGGACGTACATAACCCTGGGACCTCCTGTACTGTATCTACATATTGCATTGTTTGTTTACAAAAAAAAAACAAAGTAAAAAGTTACAAGTATTGTAGATTACTGGAAAAACTACTTACTGTAGTTACTGTAATCGATTACAAATTCTTTGTTATTTACCCACCACTGAAAAGTAAAGTACAGCATGCACTATATTACAGTGTACAATACAATACTACTCACCACTGTAACCCAAGAAAGTAATGTAAATGTAGTAACCAATGGCGAAGACCCATAACAAATTGCCGAAGAGCAATGACACGAACCAGTCCTGGCTGATGAAGACTGGAAGAGAGGAAGTGTGAAAATATACAATAACAATATGCAGGAGAGGCATAACAAAGGCATTTTGGAAGATATTTGCATCACTCATGAATATTGTACATAAAGAACATCTTCATCACCTATTTCCATGTTGCAGCACACTGTACACATTTTTACACAAACAGTGTTATCATTACCAACCATATTGGAATCACCTGAAAATTAGACATTCAAGCTTATTTTATCTAATGTTTAAACACCCCAGTTTATTTCACCTGATGATTAAACACCTCAATGCTAACCAATCCTACCCCCCCTCCCCAAAGGAAGTGTTAGGGTTTTATCATCAGGTGAAGCAGGCTGGGGTGTCTAATATTCAGGTGATCCTTGTTTTGAAAAAAAAAAAAAAATAATAATAAAATAAAAAATAATGGAAAATAGCCCACCCGGGCACAGGTCATCAACCTACAACAGGGCCTAGGGAACAAAAAAATAAGAGTAAAAGAAATTAAGAATAGAAGAGAAAAAGATTATACTGTACTGTATTAATCTAAACCACGTAGATGCCGGGAAACCAGCTTTTTGAAGTGAGACAGATTGTAAGAGTATGGAAACACAGAAGAAGGCAGAGCATTAAACAGTTTGGCTGTGTGAGGAAAGAAGGATGTATACTAAAACGGGTTATTCTAGTGTGACCGACATCCACACAGAAACAGTGGGCACCGCGGGCAAGACGAGTGTTATGAGCCCACTGCCTTGCCGGCGGTACACAGGATGCCAAATCCACCGAACAATGCCCATTAAAGCACCTGTAAAAAAGAGTGAAGCATCATTGTGGCCAAGAGAAAGAAGAGAGATTATCAACTGAAGGAGCAGAGTTAATAGGACGAAATACCTTTGTTTCCACCAGAATTAAAAGAATAATAATTCATGCTATGTTCTTTCTAAAACGTATACATCCCAACAATGACAGTGAACTAATATGAAGCACTACACTGGGGATGACTGTGGAGGCTAACTACGGTAAAACCTCTATTTAATGGCCATAGATCTGATATACAGTACAGTAGACCCTTGCCATTTGTTAGTTTGCAATTCGCGATTTCGACGATTCAAGTAAGCAGATGGCTAGCTAGCAAGCCTTTTCCCGCAGCACAACGAGTCACCCCGAGCAGCGGTGTTGTACTCTCTAAACTTTAGTGTTTCTGTGTGAAAATGGCCCCTAAAAGACTGCCTAGTGTCAGTGCTAGTGATGCTAGTGGAGTGAAATGTAAAAGGCAGAAGTCAGTGATGACCCTAACAAAGAAAGTTTAATTATTTGATAAGTTCAAAGAGGGGATGAGTGCTGCCCCGGCTGGTCAGTTGCTTGGTATAGGTATACAGTAGTGCACTAAGGCATATTAGTTGGTATTCATGGTTTTGCCTATTCGCACCATTTCTTTGAACCTATCTTTTGCAAATGGCAAGGGTCTACTGTATAGCCCATTTTATAGAGGGTTCACCTATAACATTCCTCGATATAGCTGACTACACTCCCCCATATAGTCAGTTAAATTTAAATACAGGTCTCACTGTACTGGCATACACTCAGTAAAATGTGTATATAGGGCTAGGATATAAGTAACTACAGTATACACTATGTGAATGTTTCTAATAATGGTCTTGGTTGTTTCCTGTTGCTTTCTGCACTTCTCTTGTACCAAATCCCCCCCCCCCATACTTCACTCCTTTTCTTTGAGGTTTCTGTACCCCTTGACAGCTCCCACACAAAAATGGAATACAGTAGAGATAACATAAGAGATTTATCAATTACACAAACGAGTACTGTATTATATATTGGATCATTTTCAGTTCTACGCTACAGTACAAAGACTATAAGCATAACTTACCATGATAAAAGAAAAGCTGAAAAAAGTGAAGAATAATAAGTGGAGGGAAGTAGGCGTTGAGGTGGACATCAAACGCATAACCCCACTCCACGTCTTGGTCGCGACAAGTTGGTTTTATCATGTAGTGGTTGGTTATACACCTGAAGTAAAACAACTCATTAAACATTACTGTAGTTAGGTTGAGTAGATGTTGAAATAGGCATCTACTAACTGCTGGATATACCAAGTCATAAGCAGGTGCTCTTAGGATGACTACATAATCAGAAATTAAAACATTCATTGGGATTTTGAGTCCAAATAAATCCTCCTGGGTTAACTAATGGTAATACAGGATACGGTTTCTGGCATAAATTATCTCATGTGGGGATGACTTTCAAATTGGGTGAAACATTATCAATCATCTCAAACTCTAACAACCTAACCAAAGGCAGTCACTGTTAATGATAGAGATGGGAACTATCCAACATTATATAATTTGTTCCTACAATTTGTTTCCTTTTTAGAAGAAAATGGAAGTTAATATGATCAAACACCTGTCATATAAATTAAGGGATAATTTCAGAAGTTCAAAGTCTGTAAAAAAAATTTTTTAACTTGTGTGTACAGGTGTATACAGTATGTGTATTGTGTAAAAAGATGACCTTTATATTGTGTCTATGGACCTAAAAATCAGTGTTCTGCTCTAAATTTAAACATACAAAACAACTCAGGTGTGTTAGAAGTTATTCATCTCTCCAACATACCTACAACAGTTACTAATTAGTACAGTACAGTATTGTGCCAACTTATAACCACAAAAAATTACCACTTTATGACATAGGGTACGACAAAAACTAACCAAAGAACAGTAGCAACGATGATGCCAGCAGCCAAGGTGTCCACACATATTGTGTACACCAAGAAACTTAAGAAACCACTAAAGCTTAGTTTCAATACCACAGCAAATCCTGCAGATGTAACTGAAACACAAAAAAATAACTTGTTTAATGCAGTACAGAATAAGGCAAAAAAAAAAAGAAAAAATCATCCTACATACGGTAATAATATATTTTTCTACTCTGATACATGCTGGTCAGACAGGTGTTGATCTATCGGTGCCTTTAAAGACTGTACAGTACAGTAGTGGGTAACACTACACCTTGGCAGGTTGTTGAAAAATTAACATGCAAACCTGACACTACTCATTGAGAGGCATTATATGTTGTCATTGTGAGATTATTCAGTAAGGAATCATTGTGAGACAATACAGTATGTTATGTGAGTCATTATTTGTTATAGGGTAATTTGAGTGATTGTTTGTTATCATTGCAAGTCATCAGGTGTTGCCATTGAGACATTGTATGTTATTTTGAGGTACGAGGACAGGTACAAATAAACGCTGGTAAACAGTGCTGGGAGCAACGTCGCCATATTTTAATAGGGTTCTACATGAAAAAAAAAATAATAAATAAATAAATAAATATAATATATATATATATATATATATATATATATATATATATATATATATATATATATATATATATATATATATATATAATATATATATATATATAATATAATATATATATATATATATATATATATATATATATATATATATATATATATATATATATATATATATATATATATATATATATACATATATAATATATATATATATATATATATATATATATATATATATATATATATATATAATATATATATATATATATATATATATATATATATATATATATATATATATATATATATATATATATATATATATATATATATATATATATATATATATATATATATATATATATATATATATATATATATATATATATATATATATATATATATATATATATATATATATATATATATATATATATCAACCAGTTATAAACATTCATACACCTTAATTTATGAGGAACATTAACTGTCAGTAGTACCAATAATTATCTAATATTACTTGGTCATAAACCGAGTGACAGCTGTACCACCCACCCACCCACCCACCCAGTCACTACCTGCAGATCAATACAGTGGTGCTGGTGGGGAGGTACGATAATATACTAAAGTCAACGTTCAAAGACTTAAAATGCTTTCTCATGGAAATAAATGTACTTGCCAAGAAATTTATAGCAAAATATAAAAACATCTTGATAAAGATAATTTCATAAACTTAGAGATTATCTTAAGAGATAAGATTTTGGAATGAAAGCAAATCCAGAGATGCCTATGAGACACACAAGCGTATGTGCCAATGTTCAAGAAATATTAATTGCAGAATACTGAAGAACCTTATATTTTCGAAAAAATACAAGACAAAATTTCGTTCAATTTAATTTTTAAATAAAGATAAATAGGAATAAAACTTGAGACGTTAACTAATAATTATAAAGAAGATTGTATATGTGGCACCGCAGCTTACTATGCCAAGGCGTATGAGCATTAAACACAGTGTACGGCCTCACCTCGTACACTGGCCACGGACTAACGGACACCCGCACTATCTTCGTGCACACAGGATTATACACCAATCTACTTTTAAAATTAAGCACAGGTAACACGGCTGACTACGACAAATTATAACACGGTAAAGGAATGAGAAAAGACCTTCACAAACAGTTGTGGACACTAGAAAAATATGATAGGTTAAACCTGACTGAACCTCCCACTATTTCCGTCTTCACTTTTCTAACACTTAAAACAGCAACCTAGTTTCACAACAAAGTTTAACCGTCTCAAATATAAAGTTTTGAATATTAATCTATATATTTTCAGGATAAAAAAATAATTCTAAACCTTGACATGAACTTATCACTAACGCACAAGCAATAATATAATGGCTCTTCAAACAGTAATATTTAAAACAACACTGGACCATCACGTGAACATTGGTATATTATTTCCTATTTTATAAGATTTCTATTTCGTAGTTAGATGTTTTGTTCAGAAATATTTAAGGGTAAATTCTCAACATGTTATGGAGTCAATAGGCAGAGATTAATGACCACAAGGCAAATGAATTGACCCACATCAAGGGAAATAACACCGCACACGTTTCTTGTCTAGACATTGTAATTGTTTAGGTTAAATATCTGACATCCCAGTACACATTGGAATTATATTGATAATTAATGTCCTGACTGTTATTTAGTAAGTGACATGCTAGAAAATTTTCAGTTTAGGGATGAGTGGATTTTTCAAAATCCCATGAATATAAAAAAAGGTAAAATTGCAGATTACATCAACCAAAGATTCTGAAAGAAAATGTTACCTAACCTAATATAAGAAAATGATCATAGAAAAAATAGTTCTATCAATTGAGTGAAGCAAATTTTCGGAATTCTGTGGTTGCTGTTTACTGCAATATTATAAAAAAACTAAATAAGATATTGGGCTTTATTGAAAGCTGACAATGTGAAGACTAAGCCATTGTAGGCTCTTTTGGTACGGGTGGACGAGTCAGTCGGCACCAGAAATAACGTTAAATTTTCACTTGCCACTACAGTATACAAAAATCGAAGTTGAAATTATGTTTTTCCGGTGGTTTTTAAGTGTTATGAACGAATTTGACCTTCATTTCTGGTGCAAATCAATAGTTTCTGAGATAAGCCCCCCTCCCATCTCAGAATCTAGAGATTTGCTACAAAATTCAAGGTAAAGTGTTCAAAAACATCAAAAACCATTGGAAAAAAAAGTTCTGAATCAATCCTAACTTAACAAACCTAACCTAATCTAATCGGGGGAGCTCCACAGTCGTTCGACACTGGGTGTGTACCGCCATGTATGAACATACATAATAAAATGTTAAATATCTCGCTTTAATGTAATTTGTGTCAGAAATTCCATGGAAGAAAAGTATCTTGGAGTTGATAAAACTACTGATTGCAACTATAAAATTCCTGAGATTCGTTTAGTGGCAACAAGGTATATAGTACATGAACTGAAATAAAGTAATCCTGGAGATGGCTGATACCAGAAAATGTTCGATTTTGTTCATTTTCTTCACGTTTTTATCGTTATATTAAGTATTTTAAAAGAACCTAATAAAACATTGGGGGGTGTTTTCAGACACAGTTTTGTACGCTGATTACTTTAACCTTTATTCATTTTCTTGGGCAAATGCTTAATTTTTGAGATATAGGTGAGTTAAGATAGCATCTTAGTTGCGTCATCAGGTGTGATGCGGCAGATGTAAACAATGTACCATGGCGATCAGTAGTTCGGTAATTATGAGGATGTTTTTAGACAGTTGTATATGCTGATTACTTTCAGTTCTATTCATTTTCTCGAGTAAATGCTTAGTTTTCTAGATACAGTATAGGCAAGCTAAGATAGGTTAGGTTAGGTTTTCTTCGGTATCATTAGGTTAGTACATGATTTCAGACATTTTTATATTTTTCCCAACATAATACAGTATCCTCTAATAAAATCAGTGAAAACTGAGTATTTATAAACCCATTTTCAATGAAAAACAGCAGAAGGTCATTATCCGAATAATTACCAAAACCTGACCTAACCAACCGAAGAAACCTACCTAAACTTACCTAATTTCCTAGGCATCCCTGACCCCCACCATATTAACCACAAAGTACTTATTTTGATATCTGGTACCAATGAAGAAACTTTGTTGAAGTGTCATGGTGTAATTATATGCTTTTTTGTGGATGTGAGAGTATGCTCGGACTGAGCGGGTTGGTTGTAAACAAACAGACGTTGCACGGTGACAAGGCAGATTTTTTTGAGGAGTATTTACGGTAAAGAATTAAATTCTTCATGGACAAAGCACGTAGAGGCATCATTTTAGTGTCATGTGAACAGTTTTCACCATGTTTTAACCTGCAATTTCCCTCATTCTTCATGCCCTGCCCATTACAGATAATGATTTATGATATATACAAATATATATATACAGTAATACTCCGCTTTACGCGGTTTCGTTTTACGCGATTCTACATTTACGCGGTACCTTGCCAGAACCAGAATTTCACTTTACGCGGTGCATCTACTTTAAGCGGCGCTGGCAGGATGCGCACAAGGTCGCCCAGTCATCAAAACATTACCGAGTTCTTCACCCGCCACCCACCACAGCCAGTCCAAGTCAGTGATTGTGAGGATATGGACTTATATGGACTTTGAGGGGTTTGACAAAGAGTCCCTGCAAGCCTATGTGGTGGATAGTGATACAATTGATACAGGTGAGGGCCAATAATAATCTGCCCTCTGCCTCAGAACCAACCCCCCCATCCCTGTGTGCCCAGCCATCTTTTCTACTAATGTAAGTGTTAAAAAACCCTAATATTATTGATATTTCTCTTAATTATTAATTGTGTGTGCATACCATCTTAAAATTAAGATGTTATTTTTACTACAACGTAGGTATTGTGTCTGAAAAAGTGGAGTTTGGGGGTCGGGCCAATCTCTATTGGAATTAATCCCATATGTTCTGTTGTTCACTTTACACGGTACCCCCATGGGTTCAATTGGCCGCGTAAATCGGTGTACTACTGTATACAGTGGTCCCTCGGTTAACGAGCATAATCCGTTCCAGCAGGTTGCTCGTTAACCGAAAAACTCGTTAACCGAAACCATTGTTTCAATGGGTTTTTGGGTAATTGGTTCCAGCTCACCGAAAATTGCCTAAATTCAACAAAAAAGGTAGAAAAGTACACTTACTTTGAGGTGTGTATATAGAAGGCTCCTGGATGATGATGATGATGATGATGGGAATTAGAATGGGGGTGGAGGAGAAGGAAGAAGAGAAGGCATTGGGGCGGAAGAGAAGTCACCCCATGGCACCATTTCACCCATAAAATTTTAGTTCTCGGTGTATTTCAAGATTATTTTCTTTAAATCAACTGCACTGCATTATATATTGTCAATATGTAAAATATATTTCAAAATGACCAATAATTTGCTTGGAAACACAAAAAAAAAAAGCATTTAGTTGAAGAGAGTCTCAAGCAAGATGTTACCTCCACTGAAAACAGAGAGAAACTAATGCCTGTCTGGTGTGTTAACAGGCTGGATGGCACGCCAGAAACTAGTTTCTTTACCTTCAATTATGTTCAATAATTGTTAAAATGACTAAAAAAGTTAATATTAAACTTTTAAAATTATTGAATAGTATAAACTTCTTGATATTTACTAAAATAGTAAGGAATTTAAGCCCTAAAACCGATTACTGTATTGGCGGACGTTCACTTCTCATACATGCAAACCCTTGCTCTTCATTTCTCTTATTTTATCATTTGATATTATATTTTCTTTATTTATAAGTGATATTTCAGTATTGTAATGATTTTTTGACAACTTTTATAATTTCATTACATGTAACAATAAATGCAGCAGCTGGGCTGGTGAGTCAGCGACACAGTTATAGCCCACTGCCTCCACACACAAAATTCACTTTACACACATACACACCCATGCTCTTCATTTTCTTTTTTTATAGTTTTATATTTTATTTATTTCTAAGTTTCATTAGCATATTATAATGATTTTATTTATCTTTTTCTCAAACGATCATGGACGAGTGATAAACACGCTGAGCGGGTTGGCTCAAGCAAGAGTGAGACCCAAATGTCAGACACGTATAAGTGGGGTCGCGTACTATGGATACATGTACTCTGAGACTCTGCTGTATTTATTATCATATTAATATCATGAATTAATCAAAATATGTGTTTAAAAATGTTTATTTTCATTCATAAAAGTGCTTGTATTACTTCTATTTGCCCAAAAAATTTCCTTAGGAACACATCTCCAAGGACTTTTCAAGGACGTATCTCTTCCATAACCCGGGGATTACTGTACAGTACTGTACTTTCAATATCCAGCTGCCCTCTTAGCTCTGAACAGGGTCTCCTAGCTCTCTGTTTCATATTGCACATCTATTTCACCATTCTCATTTCAGTTTGCTCAAGACTGCATATGTCGTCATCTTGAACCACCCATGTTTCACTTGCATACATCACACTTCTCACACTAGATGTACACATTTTTCCTTTAATGCAAAGGGAAGGTCCTCGTTCCATCAATAAAGCAATAACTCCCCAAACTTCCTACAGCCACTTTTGACTCTCTCCATTTCAGCACCACCTCCAGTGTTGTGTTACCCATGCCACAGAGCTCATCAACACAGTCCCAATGTTAAGATTCTCCAGCCTTGTTAAAGATTAAATAAGTTACTCTCCGAGTCAGATTAGTCTACTTAAATTGCTAAAATTTGGAGTGTCCAGTATTCAGAGGTTTTACTGAATATGTATTTATCATTATTGGAAGGGAAAAGATAGTTTTCCAGCTCTCAGTAGCTATCGATATGATCACCTGACCATTTCTTTCCCTTGTCTCAACAGTACCACAGCAATAATGAAATATAAGTGAAGTGATGGTTGGAGTGAAGTCATGTGGCGATGGAGACGAGGGACACAGGGGCTGGGCTTGGGGATCTTGCCAGTGGTTGTGGTAGTAGTGCTACTAAAAGTACTATGGCCCTCAAGTGTCCCCAGGCCTTCCACTGTACTGCATTTGATGAATACGTCAACTTATTTAAACAGGTAAACAGCTATGCTATGAAAATTAATAAAACTAGCGTTTATCTACAGCACAACATTACCAACTCTGCTTTTCTTATTTCATATATAAACCAAGACAATGCATATTACTACAGCAAATGTTTGAGAGTTGGAGGTAGCTCTTTGACACTGAAAGCTGAGGAATATGCTGGTAACTGTAATGTTTAAATATCCTGTATGCAAGGAGAATAGGAAACTTTATGTAGTAGATGGTGTAGAAGTGCCAAAATGTGTGTTAATACAGTAATTGAATGTGAATAATGATAAACTACTGTACTTGTTACCCTTAACACTTATATCCCAAACTAATTCTTTAGCTTGCATCACATGTCACTGGAGCCAACTACATCAATAGGGACATGCAGAAACAATAAAGCTGATGTACTATTGATTGTACCATCTTCTGTGGCCAACCATGAAGCAAGACAAGCAGTTCGGAAAAGTTGGGGTGCCCACTTGCCATCTTCGTGGCCTCTTGTTTTTTTTATCGGAGCAACTAATGATAGATCACTGCAGGTTAGTTAATCTTAACTGAATACAAGTTGATTCTTGACAATTATCACCATAATCGTTTTATGGCCATGTGCGTGTGTGTGTGTGTGTGTGTGTGTGTGGCAGCTGTTGGGTAAAACTAGAATGGGATGCCCTCCACTTACCACCGGAAACCCAGGGTGCTAGCCCATATAATGCAACAGAGACCAGGGATGGGCACAGTTTTGGTGACCCAATTGCCATCAGACATGTTGAAGCCCTTCCGAACACCAACCCACAAAGTGAGAACGGCAGGCAATGTAGGGTCACAGTTCCCTGAGGATGTCAGAGACTACCTGCCTATTTCTTATAGCTTCCTAATATGAGGCATCTCAAGCAACAAGGGCAAAATCCCTAATCTGGAATTTTCCCATTTTTGGTGGACTCAGAAACTTGAGTTCATGCTCTAACTGGTGGTGAAAGCTATCAAGGCAAAAGCGGCATGGAGGCTGCAGGGGGGAATGGCGCCAAAGCTGAAAGGGAGAAATTCCCAGACGACAACTTTCTCGACTACTAACCCCCACACCAGACATCTTCACCTAGTATAGTGTCTATTATTATCTCCTAATTACTGTACCTCAAAATAAATCCTTTCCATTGATTGAGTTATCCAAAAAGCAGATAATGAATTTTTTTATTACTTGTAAATTTTGTAATTCAAATACAGTAGTATAGGATTACTATTTTTTTATTTACCTTCATGTGCCTCACCTCCATAATTTTTTTTAAAGAACCTGTGTTAATAATTTATGACAGGTAATTAGTGAAGGTTAATTTGGTTAATTAGGGAAACAACTTTTTTTCCATTTTCTACTTTTCATTTCCTTATTTGGCTTATCAAACCAAAGAAAATGGTACATAAGACATGAACATTGGATTGTTTTTGTTGTACGGTAGTACGAAATAAATAAAATTTGTAAATTTTAAATACAATTACAATATCTCTTAACCCAATTTTGGCGACCTGTCCTTGTTGCATGAGACACCTCAAATTTCTACAAGAACTAGAAAAAATGAAGTTATTACATTTACTTATAAAATTCAGAACCAAAGCCTACAGTTGACTTGTTCAGAGTGATCGTAAATTACTGTATGTCCTCAACAAATGCAGATGGCTCATGATTGCAGCACTGGAGTACAGGATATTATTAAGAGGTGAGATGAGGATAATGATGGCAGGATGGATAGTCAGAAATCAGAAAAAAAAAGTCACCAGTTCTGATGTGCCTTCCTCTCACAGATGCTACACAGACACCTCACTCTCCATTACAGTACTAAGTATCTCCACTTCATCATCACTACTACCATTATCTGCGGGTAGTCTTTGATTACCTCGGGGAGTTGTGACCCTGCCTTGCCAACTGTTCCCACAGTGTGGGCAGATGTTAGGAAGGGCATCCAATTTAAAATTTTGCCCCAATATGGCTGATGGCAAACAGGTCACCAGAGCTGTACCCATCCCCTGATCTCTGCTGCATTTTCTAGGTTGGCACCCTGGGTTTGCAGTGGTTATGGGGGTCAACTTATAGTTTTAAGCAACAGCTACCATCAGGTAATTACGCCTAACCCAGGCAGTGTCGAAAATGGCCATAAATTGTTATTGATTAAAGCATTTGATGGCAGGCTTTGAACTGTGTATGATAGAAGAGAAAATTGAGAATACAAGGCTACTGAGATGCCTGTATATGTTGAGACAAAAAAAATGACAGCTTTCTTTGGGCTTGTCATAAACAGCATCATTACCCCCTTTCCTTCAAATAACTCGGTAAATACTGTACTATCATCACAGGGAAATCATATGATGATAGTGTCTTAGTGTTGGGAGGTGGAAATTTGAAACTGCTTTAAATTGGTAAATTTTGGATGGTTTTCAATGAAAGTGGATGGAATTCAATCATTAGGGAGGGGGAGAAGTAATGAAATAGTTATGGTTCCTAATATTAACCCATGATGGATGCAAACTTCTGAATGGTTTTAGTGTTATTTGTAAAAAAAAAAAAAATGGGAGGGAGGGAGGAGCAATGACATCAGAAAATTATGAAAATGACCCGAGTATGAAAAGTTGAGTACCAAAATTCATACCGGTAAATAGAATTTGGAGGAAGTTCAGTATTAGGGTGTGTTGGATATAACACTCAGTGGTAATGAGAATGCGAGTGGATATTAGACTAATAGCTATAGTGCTGTATTTGATTATGTAAAAGATAGTCCTGCAGAATAATTAAATGTGTATTTTAACCCCTTGTGTATGGGGGGGTCCCTCTGTGCTGAATAAAATCAACTGGTTTGCCAATTAGAATATTAAAAGTGACATATCCATAGTGAAAGGGTTAACAAAGTTTGTTGGTGTAGGTACAGAAGAACACTGAATGTATAGTGAGAGAACAGAATGTTTATGAGAAGTACCAGTAAGTATAGTACTCTGAGGAAGAATGTAAAGGAGCTTTTGGAAAAGCTTGCAAGGCCAACCATAATTATTGTAATGGCTATACTTGAATGAGATGGAAAGCATTAATGCAGGAGTAACCCAAGAGGATGTGCAAGTATCAGAGACTAATGACCACTGGTTTTGAGTTTTGTATGTAAGCTACTCTTGGATGATGTTATAAAAACATATGAAGTTCCAAAGCAACACTTTGTTTGGGTTAAATTCAAAGTGAATTCAGAATTGTTGATGCACAATTGGCAGGGTAATTACTTTAGGGTTCTCACATCTTCTGGTTTGAACCAAAATAAAAGCACTGTAATGCACCCTATATTTACAAAGCTTTAAATGTGAAATGCTTGTCAAGGAAATAAAGGATAAAATTTAAACAAAATTCTTATATTTTTTTTTACAGGAGTACTTTCTTAATATAGACTGGTATGAGGTATATATATGAACTGAAAGTCAAGTTTTTTTTTTTTCTTAATTTCTTAGGATCGGGTGACAGCTGAAGCTAAACAACATGGAGACATAGCACAGGACCTTAGCTTCCATGATTCCTATTCCAACCTTACTCTTAAGACTCTCAGTCTTCTGAGCTGGGCACAAAACTTCTGCAGGGATACCAGTTATGTTCTCAAAATTGATGATGATGTCTTCCTCAATGTAAAAAGACTGTACAAGTTAACGGTGTGTGTTACTGAGGCAAGGCAGAACATATATAGAACAAAGAGGGAAGACAACCCACTAAACTCGGGCTTACAGGAGTTAACACCTTTCAGCCTGTCATCTGTGGACTCTTCCTTGGAAAATTTATGTAATGGGTTCAAGCCACATCAATCCATTAATTATTTAATTAATTCCCAGAGTCATGAATATGAGTCATACATGTTTGCAGGTTACTTGTACGATGGAATCAGAGCAGACAGAAACCCACACTCTAAGTGGTATTTGGACCCCAAGATTTACTCTAGTGACATTCTCCCACCCTTCTTATCTGGTACATCTTACATCATGACCTCTAATATTATCCCTCATCTTTTGGAGGAAGCAAAATCTAAGCCAATAATAGAGTTGGAAGATGTTTATATTTCTGGTCTTGTCGGTTATAGTGGACTCAAACTAAAACTGAGCCATCTGGAAGGATGGAGTAGGTTCCGTCCACGTTGGGACAGTCCGTGTATGTACCGTGAGCTCATCACTGCTCATGGTCTCTCTCCTTCAGAACTCTCTGCTATGACTCGAGCAATAAACAATTTAAGCAGTGACGATTGCAATGGCTTTTTGGTTTATCTTGCAAACTCGTTCAACTCTTTTGTCTCTTCCATATTTCCCAGGTTACCAAAGTAAACCACAGCATAATAAGTGAATTATTCTAACTCGATAAAAGAGAGAAGAAAGTGAATGATGTTAAAATGGACCGTGTGCAAATGCCGAGTGTATAGAATTACATTACCACAATAATTAGTAAAAACAAAACTAGATCTTATTATAATGATATATAAGTTGTCAAAGATAAGGTGTTTTTAACAAGTAGAAAGAGTGGTTGTAGAGAAGCTTTGCAATGCAATACAGTATTTGATTAATTTTCAGGAAGAAACATACACTTAAATTGCTTAGACAAGATGGAGTGAGTATATCAGAGAAAAGGTTCCGCTTTGTTTTAAATTTTGAATAGAATCTGCATGAGTAAAACAACACTGGAGTTCCCTCAATTAAACAAAGCAAGAGTTCCAAGGTTAAAATACTAAAACAGAGATAAATGCCTCTGCAAATGTTGGAAATAGAATCTCAAATACAGTATTGTACTGGTCAACTGACTTTTTTTTTTTAACAAAAATAACACGTGTATAACAGCAGAAGCAATGTACTGTATAATAACTCTGTGTTGAGACTGTAACATTTGTGCTTAGGGTAAACAAAATGATCCGGTTACAAAGTGCTGTGTAGATTTATATCAAAATATTTTAAAATCTTTTGGTGGATTTTACTGAAATCAAAATAGTGAAAATAGTAACTGATACAATAAATTTATTATTTCTGTTCAATACCAATGTGCTGGGGGGATATTGGCATGAGAACGTTACACTGGTTGAGTGGTGAAGTTGTGTACTGTATACCGTACAGGTGAAAGTGTGTTCAATAGGCATGGCTGCCCATTAGGAAGTGTGGATACAAGATACCAGATACTGCAGTGATATATTAATACATTTTAAACCGTGTAGAATGCGCTCTAATTTAGTTACCTATACACCCCTGTACAGTACTTATAGTATTTAATTTTTTATCACCATTAAAAAGCTGAACCTTTTTTTCTACAATTCATATTTAGTCAATATTTATAAGAAGTAATAAATTCTTGGAGAAATTACGAGTTGAACTGGGAGTAAAAAAAAATTCTGCTCTGGGGTGAGCCGTCAATATCGTCATAGTAACCAGGCCATCTCAGCCACGAGCACAACCAAACAATGGCGCGATAAACCTGAACACCATATGATGTCTGCTGCCCTTTAAGGATTAAAATAATTTTTGGTCAGATTGTATACAGTAATGAAAACAAATTACTGTACCCATTTGTACAATATAGACTTACTGTAAAATATTTTTGTTTATACAGTAAAAATGTGTTGAAGGAGGTATTACCTATTCAATTACAGGTGTATTTTTTATTTATGCTGAATAAATACAGTACTGTACTATATGAATACTGTACACTAGTTTTGTTCAATGCATAAAAAATGTACTGGAGTATAAACATGCTTTGCAGCACCGTATGTATGTGATCACCAAGCTGTGTTATGTATTATTAATGTTTAGCACTAATTAAGGTTTCAATAGACACAGTAAGCCTCACCACGTAAATATAACTGTATTGAGTGAATCTTTCGTAACTGAAGAAATGGTATGATTTTTATCTCTTGGAGTGGCTTAAGTGGGGTAGGTAGTGCCATTGACTGTGGTGTAAATCAAGCCAGTTTGTGGATTAATATTGTTTCACTGAATAAAATAAAATATTTTACTTTTAAGGGATTATTGCACATGAAATCTGTAATCTTCAAATGCTGTACTGTGCTGTAACGTATTTACATTGTGTTTAGTTGTATAGATACATGTTCAGAATGATCAAAGGCAGTCATGTTACGGAGTTGTGTTCTTATGTTATAAACAGAATAGAGCTTTAGTATGGTCAATAAATCTCCTTAAGTACTTTACTCTACAGTATTAGGGAAACTTACATCAGTTAAATGAAGGATATGATTTTCCTTGTAGGTTGTGTGTGCAAGGCCACCACTGCCTCTCTTCCCCCCCTTCACCACTCCTAAACTCTCATATTCACTGTAAAAAATCATACCTTTTGTTTGATTAATACAAAGTACTTTCTAGAGTTTACTGTATATATTAAAGCCTTATTGTGTATAAACATTAACAAGACTGCTCAAGTGACATACAACTGTTGGCACTCACATTGGGACACCTAAGTGTATCTCTATTGGTTCACTGTCATTGATGCACTATGCATGGTGGCTGATCATAGGCACTTCTAATTCTTGTGATATTACTAAGCCAGTCTTACCTGGTAACTACCTAACTAACCAAGGAAGGGTGCTGCACGTGCAAACATTGGAGTGTTAAAGGAATCGAGTCATCCAGTTTCACTATACTGTACAATTACTTAGTGTGCAGTGCAGTCTGTATAAAATATAAACCTTAATGTTTATGAACTTGTTAGCAGCTACACTAAAGGTGTGTTTTAGATAAAAATTTAAAATTAGCATTAAGTTGAACTTTTTACACACAAGACTGTGCATTATGTAAATGTGTGTAATGGGAAGTTACCAGTACTTGAAGGGAATGACAAAACTTTTGTTACATTAGAATTTTCATTTTGGACCATCTAGTGTACAGTACTGCAAGTCTGGTAAAGTGATGCAGGAAAGTATCATAACTTTTCTGAATATCTCTGCTGATATTATACAAGATATTATGTTTATGTGTTGTGTGGGCATTCTAGATAATATAACAGAAGACTTACATACTTTTTTTTTTAAATATGAACCATATGTTACTGGTACTAAACCATGATACAGTATTATATATTTCCTTGAATCTCTATAATGATACTTTACCTGGCTGGGAATTATGTAATTTATCCCAATACATAAGGGGGAAAGTTGAGTTACCCCTGTCTATGCTTCCGGAAAAACTTGTTAATGTAGCTACTGTACTAAGTAAACCTACAGTTTCAATCAGACTTCTTAATACTTGAAAGACAGTCTACCCATCCAACATGGAAGTGCATATTATTGTTGAACAATTTTGAAAACTGTTACACCAGACATATTCCTGATTTATATTATTATTTACGATGAAATGCTACTTGGTAATAGAAATAAATCCTCCTCAAATTTCTTTTTAGCCCTTAGAAGCTAACTCCCTTGTGTGATATTTACCTCTTCTATTAGGCATCATTAAACCATGGCATAAGTAGTGTGCTCATAAATCATCTCTTGGAAGTGATGATAATAATGGCACTAATCTAACTTATGACTCACCTTAATTTAACATTCCCTATGTGCTGTAAATCACTATAGAGGCAAAATGTTCACTTTGCATACATAATGAGGATATTTCTACCCATGTTTCAACTGTCTCTTTTTCATACAAGATGTATATGTTTCTGCACCTGTCATATGATGATCTCCCCAACTCTTGCAGCTTTTTGAATTCTTTGATCCACTCTATAAAAAGGCACAAGAGTAAAGCTAATAGACAGAGAGAGAGGAACTGAATTTTTTTTTTGAATCCATCTAATTCTAGAAAATATGCTAAATTCTAATATGAGTCAGAAATGTGAGGATGGCGTTCTAGTTGTAAAAAATTATCTTGAACAGGGCCAGATCTGCTAGCGTAAAACTTGGTACAGTATGCCTCGGAATAGTCACATTACCGTATGATATCTCAAGCTAATGCTTTATTATTGAGGATATGAATTTAAAGAGTGCTTAAGTAAGGTGTAACATACTGTTAAAATATTTATTACAATTAAAGATATTATGATACAAATATGTTATTAATAAAGCTCTACTGTTATAAATGCCCATCATTACCAATTAATACTGGTAAGTGAAGATTAGAACATACAGGGTGAGGAAGCCAGAACAAATGAATGATAATGCCTATGCTGTTCTTCATCCGATGTACTGTACAGTGTGTGTGTGTGTGTGTGGCTTGACCTTAACTACTGTACCCAGGTGTTCACAGACATACAGATGGTACCTATCTATATCATCCTTTGGGGTGCAACTTGCACTCGCCCTCTATCAGTGTGCCATTAACGAAATCGTACAACACTTGCCTATAAGATATCAACAAAAGCCAAACTCTGACAAGTAACAAAAAAAATATTGAGAACTATGCAGATCTGTCTTAAAACTCCTCTATTACAGTATGCCTTGCTGGGCCCTTCATCCAACCACACATCTTGTCAATCATGCTCAGCAAAACATCCTTACTCTAGCCCAGCACATCTCTAAACTACCCTTCACACTGTTATTGAATGATTCCATTCTTCTAAACTCAGCATACAATAAAAGGCTTCCCTTACATTCTTTTCCTTCAATTTCTACACTCTTCTTCTTGGAATATTCATTTTAATCCTTTCCTGCACCTTTAAAGCAGTAAGCCATACACAAGCAATCCGTGCTGCAAGATACATTCTTCTTGGCAATAATCACATTACTAACAACTTTAACAAGCTCCCTATCTGATTTCCTGACAAGCAAGTACAGTACAGGTATGGGACCATTTATCTGTAGCAAAAGCAGTTCATTGACCTCAGACTGACCCACCACGACCAACTTCAGAGGTACCCTCCCATGCACAACATGACACCTAAGGTGACCAGAGTACAGTTTGGGCTGTAAAATGCTTAACCTTTACCCTCTGTACAGGTACACCAGCCCAGTAAATGCAGCAGATATGCAGCTCTGGTGTACCAATTGCCTTCAGGTATGTTTGTAGTAATTTTATGGCTGAATGCCCTTCCTATAACCATCCAACATGGTGTTGGAACAGCTAGGAAGGCAGGGTCTAAATTTTACATTTTATTTCTGCTATTCATCATATCTGGTGCTGTTTAGCTGTTGGAAACATTAAAATAATATACCTTGGTCTTTCACTTGGATGTTTATATCTTTAACAGAACATCAATGAAACATTTCATTAATAACAAGTACTGAAGAATAATGGTTCAGTCTTTCCTCTATAAACCTTAAACCGACCTTTGACATCACATGCAACCACTCTATACAGTATGTTCACTGTACACAAGAGTTAACCTGAAACCAAGGGTCACCAGGACCACTCAACACTAAAGCCTTGTACTGTACTCACCACACAGCCAGAAGCACAGCAGAACTACAAATGCTGGATCATCACGGGCAAACTGAGCCTTGGTCTCTGAAATGTGAGAGACAACAATATAAAACTAATCACTACAATAATTGATGAATGAGTAAAGGAAACTAGTGTGCAGTACATAACATAATATTAACACTCAACAGAAGGGAGGATCTCCTCAATGTGCATCTCAATGGAGGAAGATCTGGGAGGAGAATGTTTTGGCAAGGGAAAGATTAATGATAAGGAAGATACCTGAGTTAAAGCTTTTTAACTCTTACATGGCGAGTTCATTCAATAAATTACATATTTCTCACAAAATGTGCAAGGGGGAGGAAGGGGGCGGGGTGGCGTATTAAAATATGATATTAACCACCATTCTCTAGAAAAATGTGACTAGATTCCATTAAAGACATGAATAAAAAAAATGGAAGATTGTTGATGTAAAGACTAGAATTCAGTGTTCGATTTCATTTGGCACATAAATATTGTATAACTTTATTTTAACGAAAATGAACTGAACAAAATCCTACTTCTAAAGGGGGAAACTAAAATCATATTAAGCAACTTTTTAAAGAACAGTAAAGGAAATTTTTGGGCATAGTATTAAAATCTTGAGCAACTGTTGATCAAACATACTTACGCTTCCTGTACTGAAAATTTCTATAAACTTTCTGAGGAGATATAAATAGATACACCATCTGCCATGTTGCAAACTGGAAATCCATTTGACGGAACCTCAGGAGTCTCCGGAGGTACTTGTATCTTTTTGCTGCGGCCGTCATACAGTCGTGTCTGTTGGAATATAGTAATACAGGTAATAACAATAATAATGCGATACAGTACTACTAATAATAACAATAATAAAGCAATAGATGTCATGTTATAATTACAGAAATAGGACACTGTATAGAAGTTTTAAATTGCTAAACCTTATACAGTAGATTAAAGGCTGGGACAACTTCAGTAATTGTCACCACTAAGTCCCTTAAAGGAGTCTATAGAAGTATCGGTCACCATTTTAGGCAGAAAAATACTGAATCGCAACAGCACATCAACATCTGCACACCTTGCCTGGCAATTGGGTCGGTCAGAAAGAAAATCAGGCTTTAATCCATTCAGGTCCAACTGACTTCTATGGTACCCAATCAATGAGAGGAGGGAAGGTATCTGGGTTATAACATGGAATTTTAGAATAAATCCTTCAATTATGCCCTTAATGCCCTCCCAAAAAGACTCATATACCTGAAGCAGGCTAGGCAATGGCAGGGGGTTGAGATACCTGGAGGTGCTCCAAATGCTAATATGACGTACTGTACATCCCACTCGGTGAGTTAGCCCTACTTTAGCCATTGTAGAAAACAGGAAAACTAACTTTACAAAATCCCCACAGTCCATCATCGTAGCTTCCTCATCCAAATATCTGCCACCAAACATTTTGTTGATGACCATGCACCTCTTTGTAGGGTGGGCATTTAGGACATCCCATAAAGACAGGCCTCCCAATATGCAGTGCTTGAGATCATGAACCCTAACTCTGCAGTCTGTTTGTGTCAATTTAATAGCTGTCAATCAATTTATTTATTTATTAAAGCTTTGGAATCTGTACCCTCTAAGCTATAAGCCAATATCAATAATTACAAAAGAAAGTGTTTTGTACTGCCAAAACTGGGTGGAATGAATGGTGGGAACTGGCTTCAGTTTTCCAGGTAAGAAATGATTGTAGGACACTTATGCTGAAGGATGATGAGTTAACCCTTTGAGGACTATAATTTAACCCTTTGGAGACGATAATTTAACCCCTTGAGGATTGATGATTTAACCCTTCGAGGACGATGATTTAACGCTTTGAGGACGATGATTTAACCCTTTGAGGACTATGAATTAACCCTTTGGGGATGATGATTTAACCCTCCAGGCAACTCATGTTCTATATAAACAAGTCTACAGGTTGACACTTTGAGTTCCCAGGACCTTGCATTGTGTGACAAAAACTTTATCCTAAAAATCCAAAAAAATTTAGATGTAGGATTTTTCCAAGCTAAACCACAGCACCCAATCAGGGACAAGTGTTTCCCAGAAATGCTCAATTACAGGAGGTTTTCCTACTGAAGGGTTAAGTTAAAACACCATACAGGTGGGTGGAGCATAATAAACTGCAGTCACTAAATCCAATTATTCTGCCAACACATACCAAGTTACTTTTCCATGACCCTGCATTAATAATACTTTCCATAGAGATAAAATATTTATGATGATTATTTAAAAATTAAATGGTTACTCTTGTTTTCATTGTTTTGTCAGTCAATAGCTCAGCTCTAATTAACAATTTCTTCCTAAACAAAACAGTGCTGGAGAATTAGAACCTCTACGTAAAACATAATCAAACAATACCGGATATCACATTATCCACACTAACTTGGGTCAAAGTAGTTCATCTTACAACAGACATCATGAATAGGGCAAAATTCTAGGAAATACAGTATAGTGCTGTACTCTTACCTGGATCATCATTAAACGTATTACTTTTAGCTCACCATAATGAGAAAATGTTATATCACCAGTATTTAAATGATTCAATTACTGTTGTTACGTTAACTCTTCCTTGACTTTGAGCAAGAGCTTGTTTGTCTAAAAGAGCAAGCTAAAACTGCCATTCCTTTTCTTTTTCTTCTCTTTCCTTTTCATTTTCTTCTCTCTAATTTCTTTTTCTTCTTTCTGTCTCTCAAACATAAGTCCAGTAACTCAAACTGCCTCTGTTCTTTTTCTAGCTCAAGTCTCTTTGCCATCAAAACCTCTAGTCTCCTGTTCAATCAAAAGCAAAGCTTCGAATCCTAGAGTGTTATCATGCACTAACTCACTCAGTACCTTACACTGAACCTCTCTTTTCTTCCATGACTTTCTACATTCAACACTAAACTTAGATGCAATGGCTAACCAATCATCTTTATGTAATGTGGTCTTTTTCAAACATTCTACTGATGGAGTAGTAACAAATTCCTCTAAACTGAACTCAACAATGATAAATAATAAATACAATATACACTAAGAACACAGATATAATAACAGAACATAAACATTTATGATATAAAAAGGTTTGGGGAAATTCTCAACATGGAGCAAACCTCAACGGCATTTCTCACGAACAAAATTCTCTCCAAAATAGTGTAACCCAATTCACCCAATCTCTCTTTTCTTTCTTGCTGGAACTATGGAGCATTTCACTTTTGATGGATCACCTGAAGCTTAACCCCCAGCTTATTTCATATGATAATTAAACACCCTAAAACTACCTGAAAAGGTTATGTTAGGTTAGGTTTGGTTAAGTAAGCTTAGTTTTGGTTATGTTAGTGATAAAGTGGTTAATCTTTAGGTGCAATAAGCCGAGAGGGTTTATCTTCACGCGACTTCTTTTGGATTATCTTGGAAAGTCATGAACATCAAGGATAACGCACCATAACATTATCTGATGTTCCCCAAAATACTGTGAAAGAATTCTTCTGCTGGAGCTAAAGCACCCCATCATATGCAACAACTGACCTGTGAGCCACTGGTGTTGGAAGTGGGGAGCCTGTACGATAACTTAAGGGAACTGTGGTAGACCCTAAGCTGGAGGAGGGTGACTGTGCGCGGGTGGGTGGCGGAGAGGTCTGGTATTTATGACTCGTGCTGCTGGAATAACAAAAACTATATATGTATTTAAGGACTATATATCACTGACAACCAATATATTTTGTTCCTCTAAAAATTGAAAAGACAGAAAGGTTACTTGATAAAAGCCAAAGGTATTCTAAATTTTACATTATACATTGAATGAGGCACAAACAAAGTAGGTCTTACTGCACAGTTAGAAAAAGACCTAATCTAACTTAATTTTACCAATTTGGAAATAGTTATTAATGTACTATATGTTTCTAACTATACAATGCTCCAAATACCCTCACCTCCAAAGTCCAACAACTGCTACACTATAACATTAATCCAAAATAAGATAAACCTAACCTAACCTACTTATACTAGCCTAAATAAAAGGAAAATATGTCATCATCAGATTAGGTTGGTTCATGTTATCTAAAATTCATGATATAATTTAGCACTTGTTGGAAGCGTTCAGTTGCTGGCAAAGTCAACAACAGATCAAGTGGAAAAATAAAAGCAGATGGACATGTGGAATACATCTCTATTATTTACAGGAACTAAATCTACAAAAAATGAAATTCTGAAGGTAAGAAAGAAGTTGACTTTTATAAAGAACTACTGTAGTCTACAACAGGTGATTGAGGTGCACAAGACATATGAAGTACAGTCCAGTATTAACTTTCTTTTTTACTCACTAACAAGTCCTAAAGTAAATTGATAAAAAAACACCTGTTATTCTATAGATTCTCAGAGAAACAAGTAGCTGTCACAAAAATTAAATTAAATGTTACACATTCAAGTGAGAAATGTTCTAGAATGTAAAATGTTGTTTTAGTCTGGCCTCTGTTGCAGACAATAATCTACAAATAATGTCTCATAAAACCCTGTGTTGCAAACTTGGCAGTTTGACTTGTGATAATGCTTGGTTTAAGGCATAAACCTGAGCTCTTTTATTAAAATGAAAACTGCCAACCAATATCAGAGTGAATGATTCAATATAGCGAGTCATAACCAGACACAACAACTGGTGAACACAAGGCTCGTGACTCTCCTTCAGGGGAGTTCATCTTATTAACGTGCCTCTGCCACAACCTTCATCAAAGTATCAAAATTCATGGTGAAGCGTAATGAGCGGTAAACAGTGGGTGAGATACTGACCTCATAGCACAAACGTGAGTGAGTTTCCTGGTGAAGAAATAATAATGGTGTATCAAGACTCAGGACGGGTTTGTTTTCATCACTTGTTGGTGAACGGTTATACTCCGCTGTTGTCCCTCTTAATAAACACATAACTCATCTATCACACAATCTTTATCAATGAGTGTGATCAAACTAAAAATTTCACTTTCCCATATAATGCTTTTAATTTAATCCTTAATAATACAATAGGTTAAAAAATTAAATTCATATTGATTTTCTACCTACCAATTATATTTTAAAAGAGATTGGATAAATTCTACTCCAGGATTCTGCCAGCTGTCAACGTCACCGTCCTGCAGCAACACACAATATTGAGGACATATTACACGGATGTAATTTCCAGTGTTGTGTTAAGAATGATATTTCATGACACTGATTTAATTGTATTAAAATATACCCACGTGAAGAAGTTTAGTTAACGAGCTCCTAAAGTAATGAGTTGGCGTTCATTTGAGAGATTATACCAATGAATATATGCACAAACTATTTTTTTAGTAATATCACAGATCTATAGCTAATTTACGTGGATATAAACGTAATGATTAAAATTGTATAGTCATAAATAATTTACATTTATGTGAAGCGGTAACAACCAGAGTTGAATAGCCAATGTGGCTGACCTACATCATTATAAAGGTTTCACATATATTGAAAAGAGTAACGGGAATTATTGATCTTCACTATATTAGTCCAAGAAGGACAAACTATTTCCTCACAATATCCTTAGTTTGGTCACCGTTTGGTTTAACATGTCCCTAAATTTGTCTAAAAATAGAATATATTTGATCCTCTACTCCCAATTCGGATAGCCTGATGATTAACCTTCCTAATACTAATTTAACCCCACAGGTAGCATTAATCTTCAAGTGAAATAAACTGGGTGCCTAATATTCCGGCGATCCCTCGTACTATAACACGATTCATGTGGTCCTCCGCCTTCCTCTTCATTAAAATCACCCTTGAACCCCGAACTCTGTCTGACACTGCCCACTATACCTTCACACAACTACTCATCTCACAACAGGTCTTCACATCTCTTGTGTCTCTCACCACAAGGATGTAGAAAGTAACATTTTGCTCCACTAATAATATTTAAATCTGTAACTTTGTCATCTTTACCAAAATAATAAGATCACATGAAGATTAGACATCCCAGTTTATTTTCACCTTAAGATTAAACACCGGTAACATTAGGACGGCTTATCTTCAGGTGATATAAACTGGGTGATTATACCAGGTGATCCACAAAAGCTTGATTAGGTGACTTTCCCACGAGTCTATATGAATAGTAATGAGATACACAATTGGACCAGACCTAAAAAATGCCCTTGGACCTGACACACCCGTAGCCATATTTGACCTTTGACCCCTCAGCTGTAGCCAAGACTACATGTGAAATTTGCTCAGAGTAACTGTATATTTTGAGATTATGTTCTAGTCAGGTAAAGTTCACACACACACACACACACACACTGTACACACACATACTGTACTGTACATACACACACATATTTACCTTATTTACGTAATGACCACCCACTGGAGGTGTCCATGCCGAGAGAGAGAGAGAGAGAGAGATATATATATATATATATATATATATATATATATATATATATATATATATATATATATATATATATATATATATATATATATATCAGTAAAATCGACATACAAGTTTACATTTATAAGTTGTCTGTAGTAAATGACAAACACTTAAGGCTCACACGAGTGACTTTGGATGAATTGGGAAATATACAGTGTGTCCATAAATGATTACCCTAATTAAAGCATGAGAGCATACTGTTTTTAGAGTAATCATTTGTGGACACCCTGTATAATTAACCAATATAAGCATCTAATTGAAAAAAAAACTGGCGTGGCGGCGTCGGGACAGGAAAAATTTACCGTCCATTAATATCGTTCTTAATTTATGTAGTATTGTCAGAGATGTCATTCTAATTCAGGGTCACACACGAGGATAGCATGATGTTCCCTTTTCTCCCACCTACTGTACATTTGTGAGACGGACTTGTTGCTGTAAATGTTGAAAATAACAGCTATTGAGTCTTTTTTCAGCCTCACCGAGAACACATAACTTATCAAAAGAAGCAATACCAACCTTACTATTAATTCAAGATGAAATACAACCAAACTAATTGAAGAAATACATTGAGTTTGTTCATTAAGATCTAGAAATTCACTAAAGACGGTAAAACTGGAACTTGAAATAATAGACGCAAGGTTGATTATATCGAGGGACGCAGCTCCAGAAAGGCTAACTCCTGAAAAATGTCAAATTATCCCCACGAGGGTAATTTACAGTACTACTAATTGAAAACCTTGTGGTCTAAACACATGCTGAACTGTATTACTGCATAGTCTATATACAATGCCAGATTAATTGTACACTTGTTTGATGATTTTACTGAATTATTATTATTATCATTATTATTATTATTATTATTACTATTACTATTTCACACTGATTCATCTTGTAGAGACCGTACAGATATACAAATAAAAGTAAACAAACAGTTGGTTTATTGAACAAAAGACGGTTTATGGCAAATGTTAAAAAGACTCATTTCCATTAACATCTGTAAACACACAGCCGCCACAAACACTATCGTACCATTGTAAACATCTGTGAACAAACATTACAAAAAACACCTTTCAACTCGGCAAATAATCGTCTGACCTGTATAATTAAATCATACCTTTTCACATCGTTAAGGAAACCAACTGCGCAGATGCTAGCCATGACGATCAGCGAGTGAGTGCATGTGTTACAGGTGCCGGGAGGTCATCACGCACGTCGACTTAAAAAGAAGATATTTACGCAGGTGTCTTTAGTTGGTCATGTACACTGAAGCGCTGCTGCAGCTCGTCTAGTGGGGTGGGCCTTCCAGCACTATCTAAACACACCTGACTCTATATCAACCACATAAACACTTGTCATATACACATATAAACCATTAGTCATATATAAAGCCACGTTAGGGTGTGTACTCTAAGTCTTGTAATAATTATGACATAGGTTTCGTATATCGAGGCTGCGGGTCCATACTGTATATACTGTACATATATAAAGGTGTCATTAATAGTCATGATCAAGGTAATAATGACCTCACCTTCATAACACGGTTTTAATGAGTAAACATATCAGAATGTTACCCGGATAACGTTGAAACTACGCTACACGGCCGAGGGTGTTACCTTCACGTTAAGATTGATTCGATTTTTTTTATCTATCATTTCTACCACTTCTATCTACTTACTTGGCAGGCAGTGGGTGTGTTCTTTGTTACTTTATTACTACTTTTACTTTACTTTGCTTCAGTATTACTTCTACTTTATTCTCTTCGCCACTGGTCGGTTGCCTAGCCAGTCGTCCATGTCTGTTATACACTGTTGACAAGTACTGTTCATATATAAGTTCTGTTACACTCTGTTGGTAAGTATTGGACATGTACGGACTCTGCTACACGCTGTTGGCAAGTACTTTTTTTTTTTTTTTTATCCTCTTCGCCACTGATCAGCTTGTTAGCCGCTTGGGCGATCGGTCACGTCTCTTTTCCTTTATAATCTTCACCAAAAGGTCGGCTCCAGCCGCCCGGGCGATCGGTCACGTCTCTGTCACGCACTGTTGGCAAATACTGGGCATGCACCGGCTCCTGAATGTACCTGAACCCGCTCCAGTGTTGGTCAAGTCTTCTCTTGAAAGAGCTCACACTCGGTGCCGTCACAACACTTTCTGGCAGATTGTTCCAAGAGTTTACAACCCTCACTCCGAAAAAGTTTGCCCTCACGGTTTTCTGGACTTGCGGCTTCTTCAATCTTGAGCTGTGACCCCTTGTGGGGCGAGCGTCCGCCAGCTCCAAGTAAGGACACTGCTGGTAAGTATTGGACATGTACGGACTCGAGAATTTATCTGAACATGTACCAGTGTTGGTCAAGTCTGGTCTTAAAGGAACTCACACTCGATGCCGTCACAACACTCTCTGGCAGGTTATTACAACGCTTCACAACTCTCACTCAAAGAAAATTTACTCAGACAATTTACTATACTCGTGGCTTCTAGGGGGCCAGCCATCCACTACCTCCAGACATGAACTCTTGACTGGGCAATGTCCTGTGAGGTGCTTATAAACGTCAATTAAATAACCATTGCCCTTCTACAGTGTAAGCGAGGTACTTGAATGTATTCGGGTCCCTCTTTTGATGCTTTCATTCTAAGGGTGCTATGTTTAAGCTAAGGGTGCTATGTTTAAGCTAAGGGTGCTATGTTTAAGCTAAGGGTGCTATGTTTAAGCTAAGGGTGCTATGTTTAAGTTAAGGGTGCTATGTTTAAGTTAAGGGTGCTATGTTTAAGCTAAGGGTGCTATGTTTAAGCTAAGGGTGCTATGTTTAAGTTAAGAGTGCTATGTTTAAGCTAAGGGTGCTATGTTTAAGTCTATGATGCTATGTTTAAGCCAAGGACGCTATTTTTAAGCTAAAAGTGACATTTTTAAGTTAAGGGTACTATTTTAGCTAAGGGTATTGTTTAAGCTAAGGGTGTTATGTTTAAACTATATGAGAGAAATCACTAAGCTGGGTTGATGACGTAATGGGGGAAGTAGTGACGTCATGAAGCTAGGCTGGTGACGTCAATGGGGACCCAAGATTATAAATGGAGGAGACAGGTGTTCGCCGCGTCATACAGCTACCAGACACCTGCCAAGATGGTCACACAGACGCGTCTCCCGCTACTGCTGGTGGTTGTGCTGGCCACTGTGGTAAGTGGTGTAGTGATGGTGATAGTGGTGGTGATGTAGGTGACAGTGGTTGGTGGTGTAGGTGGCAGTGGTTGGTAGTGTAGGTGGCAGTGGTTGGTAGTATAGGTGACAGTGATTGGTAGTATAGGTGACAGTGATTGGTGGTGGTGTAGGTGACAGATGTGATGACAGTAAGAAGTTGGGTCGTGTCAACTTCCATAAAACTAACGAGATGAAGGAGGCTTAGTACACCCCCGTCTTCTGTAGCGAGTCACTGCACACTGTCTTCCTCTTAACAAGTGAGGAGCCGCGTCCCTCACCCACGACCATGTAAACAGACACCGATGGACCAGAGTCTTCGATTAATTGGGAACTATCAACCAGCTTATAAGGGGGGGCGGGTGAGGTGGGGAACACAATATGGAACAACTCTTGGGTGGACCAGCATCCTGTCAAGAGGGGAGAGTAACCCACTATCCGATGAATGGTACAAGGGACACTCGTATCATCACCTGTCTGGCCATAAAGCACCACAGCAGGAACACACTAGTATGAGCTATATTGGCGGATATTTTGAGTATCGGTACAGAGGACACAAACCCAATTACTGCTGGTTAAACGGTCATATGGCAGGGATCGAGCCCGAGACTACATGCTTGCGAGGCGAACATGCTGACCATTACACACGATAGTTTCTAATCTCAGGTTCTCACACTACAGGCTTCCTCCACTTGTCCAAGCGACTGGTTGCAGGGGGAGGATGTGTGTATGTGGGTGAGTAGCAACAAGACGAAATGGTACATTGCCTGGGAAGTATGCAGGAATATGGACAGCCACTTGGGTTTCATCGAGTCTCAACAGGAAAATGACTTTGTGGAAGGTGAGTTGTGTGGGCTTGTGATAGGTGAGGTGCGTTTGTTTATACCACTGAAGTTATAACCATTTATACCACACGAGTTTCCATGCTGGTTGAGTCACATTATAAATAAAACGCATTTTTCTCTATAAATCAAATAAGTTTCCAGAATCACTTGATGAATCTTGATAAATAAAAAGATTTATTTCCATACATTAAACGAGCTTCCATGTTTGTTGATTCACAAGGTAAATAAAGCAGTTATTTATCCATGAGACTCTCCTCCGTGATGGTTGAAGCCTTTCTTATAATCCTGGTGGCAGGAGTGTTGGTGGCGCTCAACAAGTCGGAGGTGTGGAGCGGCCTCAGTGACCTCAAGGTGGAGGGTTCCTTCGTGTGGTGGGACGAAGAGGCTGTCACCTATACCAAGTTAGTGGCTCATAGATAAATACCTTATTTACAGTATATCCACAGGCTATGGAGTAGTCGATATTGCTTACATGCTGTACAGTACAGAAGCCAAGTTTGTAAGATAAATTTTTAGCAAAAAATTGGGGTATTAGTTATACAAGTTAAATATTTTGAGAGGTTGAAATCCCTGGATGATGGAGGGTCAGTATCGTCCTAAAACACAGGAATGTTTACCAACTAGGACTCAAATAAATTACATTTGAATTAAAAAAAATCCAGTAACCCGAACCAAGACCTAACCAGGGGCAGATTGTGGGTCACATCACGTCCCAGTAATGAGTTTAGTGAGGCTAAAATTTCAACAGGTAAAAATCAAATCAAATGGGATTTAAGGAAGCTCAAAACAGGAGGCTGCAGTGTTAGTAAAACATGAACTTAATAATTGGTTCAAAGTTATACAGGGAGTAAGACAAGGCTGTGTTCTGTCTCCAACATTCTATAATATATACCCATGATTCTTAATGAGAAAAGTTCTAAGTGACAATGAAAGATTAAATATTAATCGACAATTTCCTGGGTTCTCAAGTTTCGCAGACGGAGAGCCTAGTGCGAATGGTCACACAGGGAACGACACCGATGAATACGCTGACCAAGACTGTGTGGCACTGAAGCACTCTAACAATTTCAAGTGGAGCGATGAATACTGCTTCGAAGACTTTTAGTGAGACTTTTTAAGGGTTCATTATATTTTGATTATCTGAAGTTCAAAGATGGCTGACGTGGCATTGATTTTTTTTAAGGACATTGATATTTCACAATTATCTTTACATACACACATAAACCCACACACACGAGAATAAAATATATATCATGTCAACTTTGAACCCTTGATAAAACTTATTATTTGTCTTCATCTGTGAACACCGGACCTATAAGGGAAGTTAGGTTAAGTAAGATTAGCTTCCAGTAATTAGACCTGACGTGGAAGGATTACGTTACATTAAGTTAATTTTTTCATATATAAAACCTCAGTAAGGATTTTGCCTGGAAATTAATGCACGAGTAAAAAACCTGCTGTATATAATAGACCCAATTTATCAACCCTGCGAAGACTGCAGTGTTTGAGTGTGTCCATCTGTCCACTGCCTGCAAATTGCTATGTTTGGTGAGTTAGATGATTGTATATTTGCCTCCCTACCCAGCTGCCCCAGTGACTTAACCTCCTAATTCTGCACTACAGTTACTTCTGTCGTATGGATCCCAGTGAGGAGTAATGGTCGACGATTCTACCTGCCTGCCTTCATGGATGACTCTCTCTAAACGGTATAAAAAATTAGTTGAGTTTACTGTACGCTAAACACACACACACACCAGCATAATATTTTACAACTAATCAGGTAAACAATGATGATTTCTATGTTTATCCCACAGCTCGACTGGTGGATGGTAGACGATGTGAACCACTACAAAAAGTACCGAGAGGATGTGAACCACTACATCATGCACCTAGAGGATGTGAACCACTACAACAAGCACCTAGAGGATGTGAACCACTACATCAAACACCTAGAGGATGTGAACCATTACAAAAAGTACCTAGAGGATGTGAACCACTACAAAAAGTACCGAGAGGATGTGAACCACTACATCATGTACCTAGAGGATGTGAACCACTACAACAAGCACCTATAGGATGTGAACCACTACATCAAGCACCTAGAGGATGTGAACCACTACATGCACCTGGAGGATGTGAACCACTACATCATGCACCTGGAGGATGTGAACCACTACAACATGCACCTAGAGGATGTGAACCACTACATCATGCACCTAGAGGATGTGAACCACTACATCATGCACCTAGAGGATGTGAACCACTACAACTTGCACCCAGAGGATGTGAACTACTACAGCATGCACCTAGAGGATGTGAACCACTACATCATGCACCTAGAGGATGTGAACCACTACAACATGCACCTAGAGGATGTGAACCACTATAACATGCACCTAGAGGATGTGAACCACTACATCATGCACCTAGAGGATGTGAACCACTATATCATGCACCTAGAGGATGTGAACCACTACATCATGAGGATGTGAACCACTACAACTTGCACCTAGAGGATGTGAACCACTACATCATGCACCTAGGATGTGAACCACTATATCATGCACCTAGAGGATGTGAACCACTACATCATGCACCGGGATGTGAACCACTACAACTTACCTAGGGGATGTGAACCACTACATCATGCACCTAGAGGATGTGAACCACTACATCATGCACCTAGAGGATGTGAACCACTACATCATGCACCTAGAGGATGTGAACCACTACAACATGCACCTAGAGGATGTGAACCACTACATGCACCTAGAGGATGTGAACCACTACATCATGCACCTAGAGGATGTGAACCACTACATCATGCACCTAGAAGATGTGAACCACTACAACTTGCACCTAGAATATGTGAACCACTACAACTTGCACCTAGAGGATGTGAACCACTACAACAAGCACCTAGAGGATGTGAACCACTACAACATGCACCTAGAGGATGTGAACCACTACAACATGCACCTAGAGGATGTGAACCACTACAACATGCACCTAGAGGATGTGAACCACCACAACATGCACCTAGAGGATGTGAACCACTACAACATGCACCTAGAGGATGTGAACCACTACAACATGCACCTAGAGGATGTGAACCACTACAACACGCACCTAGAGGATGTGAACCACTACATCATGCACCTAGAGGATGTGAACCACTACATCATGCACCTAGAGGATGTGAACCACTTCATCGAGTACAGTACAGGATGTGAACCAGTATATAATGCACTGACATTTACGTAAATTACATATAAAATTATATTGATAAAAGTGAGAAGAAGAAAAAGAAAGATAATGGAGAAAAGATAAAGAGCAAAAAAGAAAAAGAAACGAAGAAAGAATATGAAAAAGAAGAGAAGGAAGGAGAAGCAACTGAAAATTTCCTATAATAAAACAAAAACTCTTATACAAATGAATATTTCCATAAAAAATATATTGTATAACTCTGTACAACTATATAACTATACAGCGAAACCTCTATTAACGGACTATATGATGATGCAAGTCCGTTATATCCAAGGTCCTTTAGATGTAAAACCTCCATATAACGGATTACATGGAGAGAGAAGTAGTCCGTTATATAAATGTGTCCAACTGAAATTAAAAAAAAACATTGCGTGACTATTACGGTAATTGATATGAATATTTGTAAACTATTTAATAATTACATAGATAAATAAAATGTATTAGAGAATGGAAAGGTGATTTTTGATTAAGTGAAAATAAAAAGTTAAAATATTGACACTATCTTAAAATGTGTGTGTGTGTGTGTGTGTGTGTGTGTGTGTGTGTGTGTATGTGTGTGTGTGTGGAGCTACTGACACACACACACATGCAATCAAGGACCTTACACACACACACACACACACCAAACCATCTACTTACTATATTAACTCATGCAAAATCCTTAACCACCTTCACTAAAGTATGTATGTATGTATGTATGTATGTATGTATGTATGTATGTATGTATGTATATCTATTATCTAAAACATATGTATTTTATCATTTTTATATCTATACTCGCCTCCCATTTTCTGTGAGTTCTTCCCCCGTTTTCTATGTGGTGTGGAGGAAGGGGTAACCCAAGCATGTCGGATGAATGATAAGGTGAGAGTGGCGAAGACAAGTGTAGAAAGTGACAAGAAAGTGCTAAGACAGTAAGTACACACAGTTCTATATGCGTCCTGTGATATATTTCCTCATTACCTGACGGCCAGAGAAACGTATTTGGTTCACCTGAAGATTTTAGCCCACTCATCTTATTGCAACTTGAGATTAAACAACTCTGACGCTAACCTAACCTAACTCAAAATTGATTCTAACCTAATTTAAACTAATGCAAACTTAACCTTATCTAATCTAACACTAACCTAATCCAATCGAATCTAATGCTAACCTGAGTTAATCCCCTCCCACGTATAGCGTTAAAAGGTGAAATAAACTGGAGGACTAATCTTATGGTCCACGTGTACACTCAACTAAAGGCTCAGATCACCAAAGACGCCATTTGTTACTCACGTAGCCCTTGAGAATCCAGCTTTGAGTCGTAGGTTAATTAAATGAATCGGTTAGATACGTTTTCATATCTTAAAAGGTCAAATTTTAACGCACGAATTATGATTCAATTTTCTTTTTTGTAGATTAAGTTAATTTTCACTTACGAGGAATAACATGATACGAGTCTTTAAAAATTTATCCTTAATTATAGTTTGAAGTAAGTCAGATAGGTTCTCACATACGAGGTACTGTATGTGTAGAGAGGAGGGTGGTGACAGTGGTGAGGGAGTGTGGTGACAGTGGTGACGAGGTGGTGACAGTGGTGAGGAGGTGGTGATGTGAGGGGGTGAATGGTGACAGTCAGGGGACACTGTCATCGTGACTGTCACAAACCAACCTCTTCACCTTCCTGACTCTGCCACTCCTCACCACTTGCAGATTAAATGGGTCCCAGTCTTAACAGGCCCCAATACTAATACCTAGTCATACGGTCCTCAGTCCCATTAGGCCCCTTTCTAATCTAATAGTTCTGAAACATATCAAGATAAGGGCACATTTTAAAATATACTAATAAGGGGGCGTATCAGTGTTTGGGCCCCATTAGACCAGGAATTTCTTCAGGGCCCCTAGTCGTCCAGGTCCTAGTGATAGAGTCTGTTTGTGCCTGCATGGGGCTCGTTAGGTTAAACACACACACACACACACGCAGAGCTGGACACAAGAGCAGTTTCGGTCACGGTAAGTTCTCATTGGTCAGGGAGGTTGAAGTGTATGGGCTGTGACCAATGATAACTACGAGACTCAGCGGGCTTGACGAGAGAGAGAGAGAGAGAGAGAGAGAGAGAGAGTAAAACATTGATTAGTGAAGTCCAGTCAATATGTAAGAGTATATAAAAAGTATTAAGCAAGAAAGTAGTAAATAAGGAAGCAAAAAGTAAGATATAATTAAAGTATATGTGTGTGTGTGTGTGTAGTGTGTGTGTGTGTGTGTGTGTGTGTGTGTGTGTGTGTAGGTGTGTGTGAGTCGTTTGCACTTCACTGCCTTCATATTGCCTCTATATTAAATGGTGAGCAGTACAAAGCTGTGTGGAGCTGTGCTGCTAGGCTCCCACCACCACACACCACCACCACACACCACCACACGCCACCACCACACCACCACACACTACCACACACACCACCACACACTACACACACACCACCACACACACACCACACCACACACACCACTACCACCACCACACACACACTACCACACCACCACACACTACACACACACACACACACCACACACCACACACCACACCACACCACCACACCACCACCACACCACCCACACACACCACCACCACCCACACACTACCCCACCACCACACCACACACACACCACCACACCACCAGACACTACTACCACACCACCACCACACCACCACACACCACACCACACCACCACACCACCACCACCACCACACACCACACACACTACCACACCACCACACACCACACCACACCACACCACCACACCACACCACACACACCACCACACACCACCACCACACACTACACACACCACACCACACCACCACACACCACACACTCACTACCACACCACCACACACCACCACCACACCACCAAACCACTACTACACACACCACCACACACTACCCACACCACCACACACTACTCCACACCACCACACTACACCCACCACCACCACTACACACTCACCACACCACCACACACACTACACACACACACTACACCACCACACACTACTACCACACCACCACACTACTACCCACACCACCACACCACCCCACTACTACCACTCACTACTACCACACCACCACTACCACCCACACACACACAATCACAAACCACACCCATCATTAACACACACACGCAAATATATTTAAAGACCGGGAAAATTTGTACAATATACGTAGGGCGACCTTCAGGTGAGGCACGTGTGAGCCTCTGGGAAGTGGTCAGCACAGGTCACAGGGGTCAAGTGGGCGGCACACAGGTTCACAAGGGTCAAGTGGGCGTCACACAGGTCACAAGGGTCAAGTGGGCGTCACACAGGTCGGCGCGGGCGGGTCAAGTGGGCGTCACACAGGTCAGCAAGGGCTGGCGGGCGTCAGCACAGGTCATGGGCTGGCGGCGGCACAGGCCGCTAAGGGCTGCGGCGTCACAGGTCACAAGGGCCACACAGGTCACAAGGGTCAAGTGGGCGTCACACAGGTCACAAGGGTCAAGTGGGCGTCACACAGGTCACAAGGGTCAAGTGGGCGTCACACAGGTCACAAGGGTCAAGTGGGCGTCACACAGGTCACAAGGGTCAAGTGGGCGTCACACAGGTCACGTTACAAACAGACGAACACGATGTCTAGTCTAGATAATTGATTATCTTTTAACTTGAATCATCTCATCTGATGATTAGCACCCCAGATTATTTTTACCTGGAGATTAACCACTCTGACGCTACCTGGGGAGTTATGTTAGCTTAGGTTAGGTGAAGTTAAGTCAGCGTTACGTTAGGTTAGTTTAGGTTAGGTTAGGTTAGGTTAACGCTAGAATAAGTTAGGCTAAGTTAAGTTAGATTAGCGTTAGATTAGATAAGGTAAGCGTTATTTTAAATTAGCGTAAGATTAGGTAATGTTAACGTTAGATTAGCATTAAGTTAGCGTTAAGTTAGGTTAAATTATCGTTAGGTCAAGTTAGGTTTAGCGTTAAGTTAGGTTAAATTGTCGTTAGGTCAGGTTAGGTCAAGTCAGGTCAGGTCAGGGCAGGTTAATCTTCAAGGTATCACAACCACGGTGTTTGTATTACGTGTACAGTGAAGCGAAACTGACGAGGTTACTGTATGTATTTTAACAAGGCTAACAAGGACACGTTAAATAAACCACCACCATCACCTACCACACACCACCACCATCACCTACCACACACCACCACCATCACCACCACACACCACCACCATCACCTACCACACACCACCACCATCACCTACCACACACCACCACCATCACCACCACACCACCACCATCACCTACCACACACCACCACCATCACCTACCACACACCACCACCATCACCTACACACACCACCATCACCCACCACACCACCACCATCACCCACCACACACCACCACCATCACCACCACACGCCACCACCATCACCTACCACACACACCATCACCCTACCACACACACCACCACCACCACCACACACCTCACCTACCACACACCACCACCATCACCCACCACCACACACCACCACCACACACCACCACCATCACCTACCACACACCACCACCATCACCTACCACACACCACCACCATCACCACCACACAGGCTTGGCATTCTTAAGTGCCTCATTAATGTTCTAAACTGGTTCGTATTTCGTGTCTTCGTGTTAGAGTAATAATAATTCGTGGTAAGGAGCCAGGTGGGTGATGTTACCTGACACGTAGATCACTTATCCACGTAATTACCTGTTGACACAACTATGGGACTACCTGTAGACGAGTCATTTTATTCTACCTCCACCGGACGATTTTATTCAGCTTAGAGGAAACCTCCCGCAGCCAAGGGGTTAAGATTAACTATTCAAATGCTAATCTAACCTAATGTTAACCTAATCTAATTTAACTTAACCTAATCTAATATAACACCAATCTAGTCTAACGTAATCTAATATAACGCTAACCTAACCAGATATAACTTAAACTAACCTAATCCAATCTAACTTAACTTAGTCTGATATAACACTAACTTAACCTAACCTAACCTAACCTAACCATCAAGACAGCGTTAGGGTGTTTAATCATCAGGTGAAATCAACTGGGGTGGTTAATCTTCAGGTGATGCAGCAGTAAGTAAAGGATTTTATTTAATACGACTAAAGCAACTGTTGGTCGTGTTGACATACAGTACCTGCCTCCTCGCCACGTATACTGAACAAGGAAACATTTTGTGTTGTGTACGAGGCAAGAGAACAATTAACAATCACAAACACAGTCATTGTCAGAGATATGAACAATACAATATTGACGTCATAAAAAATAGTAATGAAAATATATATAATAATAACAATAATAGCAACGCTACCACTACTATTAAGGATAAGCTAGCATTAGGTTAGGTAAGGTTAAGTTTGGTTAGGTATTGCTGTTACATCATCACCAACAGCTGTTACATCACCACCAACAGCTGTTACATAATTACCAACTGCTGTGACGTCATCACCAGGTTAGAGTAGGTCAGGTCAGGCTAGGTCAGAGTAGGTCAGGTCAGAGTAGGTCAGCTTAGAGTAGGTCAGGTCAGATAAGGTTAGGTCAGGTCAGGTTAGCTTAGAGTAGGTCAGGTCATGTTAGCTTAGAGTAGGTTAGGTCAGGTCAGGTCAACCTAGGTAAATAAGTCTTAATTCATACCTTCCATTCCTTATTTAATGCGTATTATGTTTGCTTTTTATATCTGCTTCATTTTCTTGCTTGGCTTTGTACACAACAGAGATATATCAGGGGTTTTAGGGGGGTGGCCGGTCCCTAGCCCCCCTGAATGTGTTATGTTCTTATGGGGGTTTTAGGGGGGGTGGCCGGTCCCTAGCCCCCCTGAATGTGTTATGTTCTTATGGGGGTTTTAGGGGGGTGGCCGGTCCCTAGCCCCCCTGAATGTGTTATGTTCTTATGGGATTTAAATGCTTCGATAACCATTGATTCACTAACCAACGACCCTTCACAGTCAAGTCCCTGTGTGCGTCGGTTATTGAGGTATACCGAGGAGTTTCTTTTTTAACTCACAACATAAATACCGAGAATTTTTTAACTCAAGATAATTACCAAGATTTTTTAACTCACAAGATAAATATCAAAATTTTTAACTCAAAACCTCAAAAGCCACAAACACACACACACCCACAGCCTACCTTCCCCCCTCCACACCCACAGCCTCCTTCCCCCCTCCCCACACACACAGCCTCCCCCTCCTCCCTCCTATACACACACACACCCAGGAGATGACAGAGCAGAGAAGGAGTGTATAATTAGAGTGGGATATAACATGAAAAGACGGAGGGAGGAAGTGAGAGGCCAAGATGAAAGGCGGAAGAGATGGCACTGGTTGATAATGGAAGACGGGTTCTCCTCACCTGGGCTACGTTACACCTGGGCTACACGTTACACCTGGGCTACACGCTACACCTGGGCTACACGTTACACCTGGGCTACGTTACACCTGGGCTACACGCTACACCTGGGCTACACGCTACACCTGGGCTACACGCTACACCTGGGCCACACACACACCTGGGCTACACGCTACACCTGGGCTACACGCTACACCTGGGCTACACGCTACAGACAGACAGACAGACAGACAGACAGACAGACACAAATACAACCACACAGATCACAAACAAACAGTCAGAAATATACAGACACAGAAACAGACACGCACACAGACACGCACATACATTGCAGACAGATAGACTAATGGCAGGTCTTCACGCTATAGATCTCTCCACTGTTATTTAAATATATCTCTATATAAAGTCGGTTTGTTGAGACTAAAAGATATATTATTTTGAAGTTGTAGATGAAATTGAGAGAGAGAGAGAGAGAGAGAGAGAGAGAGAGAGAGAGAGGCCAAATAAGAGTGATAGACACACACACACACACACACACACACACACACACACAGACACACACACACACACACACACACACACACACACACACACACACACACACACACACACACACACACACATTTATACTTAGAATTATTCAAGTAAAATTCTCACTATTTAGAAATATCTGCAAGTATAAAATATGAATAATAATGTCATCAAGATTTTATTGTACACATTGAAAGTTGATAGTGTGTGTGTGTGTGTGTGTGTGTGTGTGTGTTGTTGTGTTTTGTGTGTGTGTGTGTGTATATGTGTGTGTGTGTGTGTGTGTGTGTGTGTGGGAAATGTCAACAGTACATGGGGTCACTAACTCACGCCCCATCCCTAACACACACAGGTTTAGCTTGAGTTAGGTCAGGTTAGGTTAGGTTATAAGACACTGCTTCATAATAATCACTGACCTATTCTATAAAAAACACATCGTCACGGTCTCCCATCACTCATAGCCTGGCTGACGGACGCTCTCTAGCCGCATGCACAGGTAAATAACACGAGAATCATCAGAGAGAAGTTAATATTTAGCCTGTGTTGTTTTACCTGTTGGGGTGAGGTGAGGTGAGGAGCGGCTAGAGTGGTTACCCTGTCGTTAATAAGGTATGCACTGGTCAGAGGGTCAATGAAAGCGTCTATCTGATTGGCTGTTTTACTATCCAATGAGAGATGAGCCCCCCAGTCAAAACATGGCGCACATAACACAAACATATCAAAGGTATTCACTCGCCAATGTTCCAAAATGGCCTAAACTATATAGCAGTATAGCATTTGGGAGCCATAATTGTTTTTCAAAAATGCTCGAATAAATGTACCTGTGTTACCTATTGACGTGAGACAACGGTACCAGTGCTTAGGGTCACCAGGTACAATTATGGCGAAACACAAGGGAAAAAATAAATTAAAGACACACACACACACACACACACACACACACACACACACACGGCCCAGATACATAAAGGTCATTACAGTAAAAAATATATATACCTGATAATTAGTGAAGTTGTTGGAATGTAATCAAACAGGCGTTACTTATGGCGTAGAAATTACACTGTGACTATACTTCAATAAAATACGTTCACTTAAGTAAGGTTTAGTCTCTGTGTAGTTTGGACGCCATTTTGGGTATTTATTCTTATGGTGTGTGTGTGTGTATGTGTGTGTGTGTGTGGAAAATCTTCACTACCTTCATCAAGTCTGCGAACAGGTGTAAAGCGAACGTATCCAGTTAGAGTCTCAGTGTAGTAATAATGCTGTTCTTATTTGGGTGTTTAGTTTGTAACCTAACCTAACCTAACCTAACCTAACCTAACCTAACTTTACCTTAACCTGACTTGATTTGGCCTGATCTAAACTAGCCTAACTTAACCTAACCTAACCTAACTTAACCTAACTTAACCTAACTTAACCTAACCTAACGTAACCTAACCTAACTTTACCTTAACCTGACTTGACTTGGCCTGATCTAAACTAGCCTAACTTAACCTAACCTAACTTAACCTAACCTAACTTAACCTAACCTAACTTAACCTGAGAGTGAGGTGTGGTGTGGGAGTTCCGCTGAGTAACCTTCCTTAATGAATGAAAAAGTTTACCTGTACCTGTGCCTCTACACCTGAGGCGGCCTCTACACCTGAAATAGGAAACATCTGTGGCCATGGTTGTCGAAAGAATGTTATAAGATGGTCGGTGGTGTGTGGTGGAGTATGGTGATTATGGTGGTGTGTGGTGGGGGGTGGTGTGTAGTATTGGTGGAGGGAATGATGACAGCAAGCCAAGGTTTTCCAGCAAGTGGCAAATGACGTGTTGAGAGAGAGAGAGAGAGAGAGAGAGAGAGAGAGACGAGAAACAGAGTCAGTTCAGCGAGCCGTCCACCGCTGCTGAAATCTGTATAAAAGCGACATCATTGGAAAGTATGTTGGGCTGTCGTGGGTGGGGGTGAGGAGGCCCTAGCTGCCACATATACCATCAACCTCACAATAATTCGCCTCTTAAACAAACATTATTACTTATTCCAACAACGGGTAACTGTAACTCATGACTATTGGAACTGTGTCATCAAGGTTACCAAAACATAAAGACAGAGGAAGATAAAGTTTGTAAATTAAGGAACTGGTAACTGGAGGAGAACCCGGCAAGGTTTTAAAACCCAGCGAGGAGGGCGAGACGGGGAGTTTCACTACAAACTCCGAGGCGGCGACACACAGTAACCTGTTCTTCGTTTTGTTGTTTGTGTATTATTATTATTGTGTTCATCATGGCCGAGAAGGCGGATATGCCGGGGGACACTGTCTCTCTCCCACCCACCTACGCCCCTTCAGAGGCCTACACAGAGTCCCCTCCCCCGGTAAGTACAGACCTGATAAACCTTTCGTGTTACATTTATCACATCACCTCAATATTAAACACCTCACCTTATATTTCACCTCTAGATTAACCAACCTAACCTAACCTAACACACCCTAACGTAACGCTACCTAACACAACACACCCCGACCTAACGTAACACTAACATAACCTAACGTAACACTAACATAACGCTAACATGACCTAACGTAACACTAACATGACCTAACGTAACACTAACATGACCTAACGTAACACTAACATCCAGCTAACATGACCTAACGTAACGCTAACATGACCTAACCTAAACTAACCTAGTCCCACCTAACACACCCTGACCTAATCCAACGCTAACATAACCTAACACCACCAGATAGAGTTAGGGTGGTAAATCTTCATGTGAAATAACCTGGGCTGTCTAATCTTCAGGTGATCTTACTAACTTTTCTTTTTTCTCTGTCTCACATCTCTCTCTCTCTCTCTGTCCCACTCTCTCTCTGTCTCACCTTTCTCTCTCTCTCTGTCCCACTCTCTCTCTGTCTCACATCTCTCTCTCTCTGTCCCACTCTCTCTGTCTCACCTCTCTCTCTCTGTCCCACTCTCTCTCTGTCTCACCTTTCTCTCTCTAGCTCTCTCTTGGTAACTTAAACAACGTGTCTTTTCTATTTTGCGTGACGTCACTGGTGTAAGCTTTCTCTCCCAGCAGTGAAAGCGGGATCACTGCTCCGCCTCTCGTTTATATAAGTAACATAATTCTTCACATCCTCAATCTACCAACCCGAGAGAAATTCTGAAGCACACATACATACAAACTGTACATACATACATACATACATACATACACACATACATACATACATACATACATACAAACTGTACATACATACATACATACATACATACATACAAACTGTACATACATACATACATACATACATACATACATAAACACATATATACATACATACATACATACATACATACATACATACATACATACACACATACACACCCCTCACACACACACACACATATACATGCATACACACATAGACACACATACAGGCATGCACTCATACAGACACACACACATCTTACAATGTATATACCACTTTCTTGTATGTATGAGTGTGTGGGTGGAGGTGAGGGAGCAGGAGACAGATATTTACCCAAACCTTACTCGACCTAGGCTGACCTACTGCAACCAAACCAAACCCAACCCAACCCAACCAACCCAACCAAACCCAACCCAACCCAACCCAACCAAACCAAACCCAACCAACCCAACCCAACCCAACCCAACCAAACCAAACCCAACCTATTCCTTCCCTCAACCGGATGTGACAGAGTGGGTGAGACTTTCCTTGAACTGGTTAACCTCGGTCTTGTTCCTCCATCACCACTACCGCTATCACCACCACCACATCATCACCACCACCACCACCACCACATCACCACCATCACTACCACTATCACCACCATCACCTAACGTCATCTCTACTACCATTATCATCACTACCACACACACTACCACACACACACACAGACACACCAACCACACACACACACACACACACACACACACACACACACACACACACACACACACACACACACACACACACACACACACACACACACACACACACAAGACTTACGAGACTAAACATCATTACTCACTCACTTAACACTATCCAAAATAATCGTGACTTTATTAACGACATAACTGGTGTGAGAAAGAACTCAAATCTCTCAAAAGTCTATGTATGTGGTAGGAGTGTGGTAGGTGGGTAGTGAGTGGTAGGGGTGGTAGGGTGTGATGTGCAGGTGTGTGTGTGGTAGGGTGTGTTGAAAGAGAGAGAGGAGAGACAGTGGATACAGGAATACAGTGAATCACATCATGAATACAGCAATAAAAAGGTGACTCATACCACCGTACTAGACCTTCAATGTGACGAGGCACTGTGTGTGTGTGTGTGTGTGTGTGTTGTGTGTGTGTGTGTGTGTGTGTGTGAACAATAGTACAAACTCACCTTCAGGAACAATAAAATCTGCAATCAAACCTGAACAATGACGCTTTGTAACCCGTGAACAGGTGGGGTGGGGGAGGGTGATAGGGGTGAGGGATAAGGGTGAGAAAGGGGTGAGGGGTGAGAGGGGGTGAGAAAGCTCTTAGGATGAGTTCTCCTTTCTATCTCTATTTTATCTTTTTTTTGACGTCACAAGTATTATTTCGTCTCTTATCTCCCTATATTTTCTCTACAATCTTATTCTTCTCTTTATATATATCTTTTTTCTTCTATCTCTCTCTTCTTCTCTCTCTGTTTCTATGTCTTTAACTCTTTCTTTATCCAGTGAGGCATACAAAAAAAAGAAGAGAGAGAGAGTTGAAAGCGCAAGAGGAAAAAGTGTAGCTGTTTTCCCCACGTGGTGAAAGTTGATGATGGTGTCTCTCTCTCTCTCACGCTCTTTTCACATCACTCTTTCTCTCTGTTTATCTTGTCTAATTCTCTCTCTCTCTCTCTCTTTGTCTTGTCTAGTTCAATCTCTCTCTCTCTCTCTCTCTCTCTCTCTCTCTCATCACCACAGAGACAAGAGCGGGCTACCACTCCTCTCACTTCCAGGTACATTAGAAAGTTCAAATCTCCGACAGGAAATGGCAGCGACTTGGGGGATGGGGAACCTCTCAGCACCTGGGGAGATCTGTCAGCACCTGGGGTAGATATGTCAGACCTGGGGTAGATCTGTCAGCACCTGGGGTAGATCTGTCAGGACCTGGGGTAGAACCTGTCAGGACCTGGGGGAGATATGTCACACCTGGGGTAGATATGTCAGACCTGGGGTGAACCTGTCAGCACCTGGGGGAGATATGTCAGCACCTGGGGTAGATCTGTCAGACCTGGGTAGATATGTCAGGACCTGGGGTAGATCTATGTCAGACCTGGGGTAGATATGTCGGGACCTGGGGTAGATCTGTCAGCACCTGGGGTAGATCTGTCAGACCTGGGGTAGATATGCAGGACCTGGGGAGATGTCAGGACCTGGGGTAGATCTGTCAGACCTGGGGTAGATATGCAGGACCTGGGGTAGATCTGTCAGGACCTGGGGTAGATATGTCAGGACCTGTAGATCTGTCAGGACCTGGGGTAGATATGTCAGCACATGGGGGAGGCATGTCAGACCTGGGGGTAGATATGTCAGGACTGGGTAGATATGTCAGGACCTGGGGTAGATCTGTCAGGACCTGGGGTAGATCTGTCAGACCTGGGGTAGATATGTCAGGACCTGGGGTAGATCTGTCAGGACCTGGGGTAGATCTGTCAGGACCTGGGGTAGATCTGCCAGCACCTGGATAGATCCAGACCTGGGGTAGATATGTCAGACCTGGGGGTAGATATGTCACACCTGGGGGTAGATCACACCTGGGGAGATACAGGACCTGGGGTAGATATGTCAGACCTGGGGATCTGTCAGGGACCTGGGGAGATCTGTCAGCACCTGGGATAGATCTGTCGGGACCTGGGGTAGATCTGTCAGACCTGGGGTAGATCTGTCAGACCTGGGGAGATATGTCAGCACCTGGGAGAATTCACAGACCTGGGGTAGATATGTCAGGACCTGGGGTAGATCTGTCAGCCCTGGGGTAGATCTGTCAGCACCTGGGGTAGATATGTCAGACCTGGGGTAGATATGTCAGACCTGGGGTAGATCTGTCAGACCTGGGGTAGATATGTCAGGACCTGGGGAGATCTGTCAGCACCTGGGGTAGATATGTCAGACCTGGGGTGATCTGTCAGCACCTGGGGTAGATCTGTCAGCACCTGGGGTAGATATGTCAGGACCTGGGGAGATCTGTCAGCACCTGGGGGTAGATATGTCAGGACCTGGGGTGTGACACCTGTAGATCTGTCAGCACCTGGGGAGATATGTCAGCACCGGGTAGATATGTCAGACCTGGGGTAGATATGTCAGCACCTGTAGATCTGTCAGGACCTGGGGAGATCTGTCCAGACCTGGGGTAGATCTGTCAGCACCTGAGCGACTCATTTTATTATTACTATCAGTAGTAGTAGTAGTAGTAGTAGAGACACACGTAATAAAAATACCACACTACCACTTTTTAACACACACACACACACACACACACACACACACACACACACACACACACACACACACACACACACACACGACCTCCTCAACAAAGACTACATCATTATTTTGGCAATTTCACCCACAAGCTACAACTTACTTATATGTATAATAAGGTGTAGGAAATTACTTATACTTTGTAAGTGATTGGTAAGGTTAAGTTTCTTGTAAGTGAGTAATGAATATACGTGCCCCAGTGTAGAAGTGGTTGGCCTTGAGGTGTGTGTGGTGTGTGTGTGTATATATAAAACAACACATGAGTCATCTTGTTTGTGCCATGCGGATAAGAACATAAGAAAATAAGGAGTCTGCAATAGGCCGGTTGGCCTGTGCATGGCAGCTCCTGTCGAGAGTTACTACCACTCTCTATCATCCATGAATCTATCTAGCCTCCTTTTAAAACTTTCCAGCGTTCCCGCACTTACTACAAAGTTGCTAAGCTTGTTCCACTCGTCTACCACCCTATTTGTGAACCAGTTACTTCCTATCTCCCTCCTAAACCTAAACTTATCCAACTTGAATCCGTTGCTCCGAGTCCTATCCTGCTCGGATATTATAAGAACTTTATCTATATCCCCTTTATTGATTCCTTTCACCCACTTAAATACTTCTATCATATCTCCCCGCACTCTTCGTCTTTCTAGGGAATGCAAATTTAGTTTCTTTAACCTATCCTGATATGGAAGGTTTCTAAGTCCCGGAATCATTTTCGTCACATGTGTGTGTGTGTGTGTATACATAAAAAAACACACACATGAGTCATTTTGTTTGTGCCATGCGGATAGGACAAACATGTGTGTGTGTGTGTGTGTGTGTGTGTAGAGCGAGGCGGGCAGGTACGGGGCGGCA